TTTGCAGCTGCATATCCCAGTGTCAATGCGTATTGTTTCATACTGTTCTAACTACAGTACACAAGTTTCATATAACTGTTCATTTCATAGTTTTATGATCATATGATACACCTCACACTCTATAATCTGGCTCCATAAGTCCACTGCCAAATACACAGTTAAGCAATATAGCCTCCACATTTTAAGCTCCTTGCACGTTCGGCTGCTTACCTTGAGTACCTTACTCAGTACACGATAAATGCCCAAGGCAACTATAGGCCATTATGTCCAAGTTCTCCCAACCAACCCGTGCATAAACCTACGTATGGTGAAATATCCCACCATCACTCAGTAGGGCACATAACGCAAATTACCTGCATCCTCTCAGGCAATTATTCGCACAACCCTTGATTAGACAAGAGACAATTCGCACAACCCTTGATTAGACAAAATTGGGTGGATACATTATCTGTTTAGTTCACAACATCTGGCATGCCAGAGGTTGCCTAATCCTGCTCTACATGGACAGTTAGAGCTTGAATCGGTGTCAAACTGCATTGGATACTTGGAGCAAGAGCACATCAAAAAATGATATCTTTGCATGATGGGAGATGCATGCATTTTTGGTAGAAATAAAAACTACTTGAACCGTATCTCATTCCATGAGGTAATGGGAAAACCCATAAAGTAAAGAATACTTGCACAGTTCAATCACTGAGATTTTGAAAAAGATACAGCTCTTCCGCAAAAGCTTGCGGAGGACGAGGAATAGCTGGCAGATGACATATTTTCAGGTCGAAAAGGATTGTCAATACAGCATGTCAGAAATTAGAAAAGGGTGGTAAACACCAGGGATCGACTGACAATAACTGGTGCTGATATTGTGTACATTTCAAGTTTTAAAAAAGTAACAACAAATCTGGTATTAAACAAACATGCGGACAACAATCACACTCCTTACTCTTAGGCAGCCAGTGATCCCAGTATGTACTGAGAGGAGTGTGATTGCGGTCAACAGTCACACTCAAATCACTCTCAGACAACCAGTACATGCTGGGATCATGAATAAACCAGTACGTGCAATACAGTTGATAGGAGTGTGATTGCTGACATCAACCACACTCCTTTTACTCTGTCAGCTAGCCCAGTACTTTACAGTAGAATATTCAAGGTCTCACCTCCCTGCCTTTAACGTTAAGTCATGACGTGGCTCTTTATTGCTGGCAGCAAGTTTCAGTATAAAAAGACAGCATGTGGTGACTGGGAAATGGGAGTACATTATCAGCAATAATCGCAAATTAGATTTTTTTAAAATGCAGAATATTGGCTCTAATAATTAGTCCACCCCTAGTAAACACACCCTTCACATTATACTCTGTAGAATAAAAATGGACCAAAATCTGTTTTAAATCTGATGATTGTCATATTTGTACACTCTAGTCATCTGAATTTTACTGTAAAACAATAAACACAAAGTAAAGACTCTTGTTCCTAAAAATGAGCTAATGGAGCAGTAACGCCTTTTCCAGAATTAAAATTATTTACACAACATCTTACCAGTTATGTGCCCATTGTGCTCCTTTAACTCATGCCCCTTCACCCATTGATTCCCACTTTTTTTGTAGATGTGAACCTCGTGGTTGTTTGGGCTGATGGCAATCTCTGAAGAACAAAAAGTAAAACAGAAGTAAAAAAACAATTAATATAATGAAGCCACTATAATCAAGCAACTAATTCATCTCATACTGTTAAAAATTATTGTTACAATATAAAGTAAAAGCAAACTTGTCTGAGGCAGAACTATGTTATGGAAAGTGCACTGGCAACGTTTTTCAGGACATGATAGAATTACAAAAAGTGGGTATATTTACATGTTACTGAATTTAATTTATGTGGATCTTATCCTTGAACTATCCTGTCAATTTAGGGGAAGAGACCAATGGAAATAAAGTGAGTTTTAAACTTTTATAGGGGGGCAAGCCACCTAAATGGTGGGTTTAGCACTATGGGGTCAGGAATACATGTTTGTGTTCCTGACCCTGTAATGATCCTTTAACCATCATGGTCACTTCAGTATTTGATGTGGTCATAGTGGTAGTCTGTATATGCAGTGTTGAAACACTGCAAATACAGAGTTACTGTTAATTGTGTGCTGGAGGCCTAGCACACTTGACTTAGCCAACCCACCTAATTGTGTACATAAAAATGTCCATCAGCATGCACAGCACGGTGCCAAAAGACGTAACATTTTTAAGTCTCTGTGTGCGGCATTCGGTCTCCCTCTGCTAATTGAATTTTCCATGAGAAGTCTGTGATTAGAGCATGTGAGTACAGGGTGATGAATATCGGCACCAGGAGATTCTCAAGGCAAGTTTAAGTTTTAGGTAGTATTTGTGGGGCTGGGGACTCAATATTAACGTCCTAAAGGCATTGTAAATATATTTGTTGAAGGGTTGGAGTGGCCCTTCAAAGAAACAGTGTATGGAGGCTGAAAACCTGTTCAACACACTTCTGTCACACATATCGGCAAGTGTAGTCATGCTAGACTGTAGTGTTTATTTACTAAAGTGATAATTCAAAGTAAATTTCAAATTTATGGCCACTGTAGCTAACCTGAAAGCATAGCAGGCCTTGAGAATATCCCCAGTATGGCTATTCTGACCTTATGTTTGCAATTCACTTTCCAGGGTTATTCACTAAAGTAAGAGTTGCCTGGAAATCAAAGTGAATTTCAAAATTTAAACCAAAAAAAAAAAACATCAACCAAAATACATATAGTAAAAACCAAAGAAAAAAAGTTACCAGCGCTCTTTCCACATCCCTATGTATTTTTAAACAAATGGAGGTTTTTAGTTACCTCCAATGGCCATGAGAGGGTATGCCCACCTGCCACGTCAAGGCAGACCTCTTAGGTGGGTCCTAACTCTAATCATTCGCCTTGCTTCCTTGAGCTCCTGGCAAAAATATCTCTAATGAGACAGAAAGGGGTATTTTTTATATACATCCCTACATGCTTATTAACCCTTAATAGGGAACACATGGGATGGGCAGCAGCATTGCAACCTAGCTGTGTGATACAAAAGTGAGTACAAATGTCAATGCTGCTGCCCATCCCATGTGTTCCCTATTAAGGGTTAATAAGCATGTAGGGATGTATATAAAAAATACCCCTGTCTGTCTCAGAGATATTTTTGCAAGAAAGCTCAAGGAAGCAAGGCGAATGATTAGAGTTAGGACCCACCTAAGAGGTCTGCCTTGACGTGGCATGAGGATCTTTTCTGAAAAAAGATCCTCATAATGTATCTACGAGTGTTCAGAAATACACAGACTTCATATTTTATCCATACTCCATGTGAAAACAACACAGGGTTCTGAAGGCACTTAAAAACGGGCGCCTCTGCTATGTATTGGATTCAGCAGAAATGGACCTCGTCAGTAGCCTATCCAACTTTCACATACAAAGAGTTGTAGCTGTTATGGTGCTTCTTCAAGCCCAGGAAAACAACAATAACAAGATGGATGCACTTACGAGTGAGATCTTTGTTCCAGGCATGGCAGCTGATGGGTTCAAGTAAAAACTGGTGCAAGGACATTCTTGAGTGTTTTCAGGCAGAAAACTGAAGATTATTTAACTATGGATGAAATCAAGAAGATTTAGCATTAAAAATCCTATTTCACAAGGGTTACGTCAAAGGAAAACAGTGGGTTTCTTTTTTTTTTTCTTTGTAATGCGGTTAAACATTGCTACCACTTTTAACTGGGAATCCTCATTGAATATTGCTCCGCAGGGACAGTCATCCTTAAATCTCTCTTGGATCAGTTTCAGATAGCCATTGAGTGATGCTTCTGACCAGAGAGGACTTAAAGTCTTTCCTCCAAAATTAATATTTTATAAAGATAAAAACCTTTATGAAATACTCACATTGACATTCTAAGCAAATTCCTAGCAAAAGATGTACTAAGAAAAAGTAGAGATTACTGTATCTTACTGTTTCAGGAAAAAGGAATTATTTATGTAGGATCCTGCGGTTTTTCAGTACCCTCCGCAGACATCAGTGTTTTACTCTGGCGTTTGAAATATGAAAAAGCTACATGGCATGAAGTTCTTCACATATGCAGGTGCAAGTCACCCTGCCTGTTAAAGCAAGTATCAACTTCAGCCACTTGTTAAAGCTATGTTTTGAAACTAAAGAAAACCTTCAATTCATGTATCTACAAAGAACAATTTCATTGCTGTTAAGTGCCAAGGAAAAGTAGGAAGTAACATTATTTTAGAATTGATGAAAATGTGAAAGACTATCATACTAACAAAGTCATTTTTTTATTTTTTATTTGTCCATCAGCAAAGGTACATTTTAGGGACCCAGTCATAAAACGTACCATCGCAAAATCTAAGGTTTTTCAAATCTGCTGCTAAAGAAAATGCAAAAATTGTATGTTATTAAAAGTAAAGCTCACATGTTAACAACACTCGTGATTATATATAGAATTTTCAACTTCTTATATTGCATTCTTTTGGCTTGACAACCATTACGATTGTATGTACAATTCATCCGAAGACAGTGGCCAACACTGTAGCCCAACCCTGTTTTACCAGCAGCTGTAGACTGACAAACTCCATGGGGCTTTGAATGCTGACAAAGCATGATAGGAGTTGCAGTTCTATAACAGCTAGTAACAGTCACCTTCCAAACACCCTAGGTAACTAGCATTCAGAGGACATGTGAAAGCATTTCCACCTTACTGTGTAGACTACTGTGTTTCAGTCACCAGGCAGTATCTGGTACTCTCCATATTAGGTCAGAGCAATCCGTATAAGACACTAATGGCCAACCTTGGCACCCCAGGTGCTTCTGAGCTATATTTCCCATGATGCTCAGCCAGTCTTAAGGCAAGCTGAGCATCATGGGAAATGTAGTGCCACTGTTAACCTTCACTGGTGTATAACAGTAAAGCCATATAAGATGATGTAAGCTGAATACAGTAATACTATGATGCGGATATGGAGTGATTGCTCCACCCTGCTGTCCCCGCCCGGGTTTATTGCTCTCATACACTTTGCTTCCTTAGGCCTACAGGCTCTGGGCTAACATATCAATCACGGACCCGATGGAGACACACTAATCTCTTTTCACCTATCGGTAAGAGCCGTAAATCGGCGGTGTGGGCCCTTACCGGAGCGGTACTGATTCGCGGACTCTGGTCAGTCAACGCGAACCCGGCGCCGGAGCGAAGGAAGAGCTGCTGACAGGCAGGGAGCAGTAACGCGCATGCGCACACTGGGTCCCCACAGGAAAAGTCACGCAGGTGGGGGGGGAGCTGCAGTGAGCATGCGCGCCGCCCACGCATTACGTACATACGTGCTGAGGCCATGACGTCAATTAAGAAGTGGCACATGCCAGTACTGGAGATGGAGGTCATGACGTTACTAAGTGCCCTGTTTGATTTGCTGGGACAGTCCCATCACATTTTAAATAGATATCATATATTAAAAGAGACTATAAATTAAAACTTATGTTTCATCTACTAGTATATGCATTAATGTCCTGCAATGGAAATGTTATCACCTGTCTAAGCATTGTGGGAAACAGGGTCGATCCTAGGGTCACAGGCGCCTGGGTGCAGAATTTTTTTGGGCGCCCCCAGTGGGCATAGTCATCAGGAGCGGCTCTCTAATTAGGCGGTTTAGGGGGCCGCCTAAGGCCTCACGCTGACTGGTTCCTTGCGGCCGCCTTAACCTCCTGAGGGCAGACAGTGTCGGGTCCTCGGTCACACCAGGAGGGGGCCCGGCGGCATACTGAGCGAAGCCCCTCCTGGCTGCCCGGTCAGCACTCGCAGACCATGTGTTTCGCGAGAACTGGCCAATCAGAGCATTACCACGGGTTACCACAGCAACGCTCTGATGGGTCTTGCGTGATTCATCGTCAGCAGCTCTGTGGAGCTGCAGACCGGATGTAATGGCCACTGGACCACAAGGCAACCCCTTCCTATCACAATCACCCACCCTCCCTTTCACCATCACCCCCCCTCCTTCACACCATCACCCTCCCTCCCTCTCACCATCACCCCTTCTCCCTCTCTCATCCCCCCTCCCCCATCACCCCTCTCCCTCACATTATCACACCCCCACAACATCACCCCCCACACCATCACCCCCTCCTCACACCATCATTCTCTATCTCACCTTTGTTCCCTCCCTCACACCATCTCTCCCTCTCACCATCACTCCCTCTCACCATCACCCCCTCACCCCATCTCCCTCACACCATCACCTCCACGCCCTCTCACCATCACCCCCATCTCCTCTCACCATCACCTCCCTCTCATCATCACCTCCTCTCACCATCACCCCCCTCTCACTCTCACTATCACCCCCTCTCCCTCTCACCATTACACCCTCCCTCCCTCTCACTATCACCCCCTCTCACCATCACCCCCTCCCTCACACCATCACTCTCCCTCCCTCACACCATCACCTACTCACACACAGGATCACCCCCACACACACACAGCCTCCCCAAACACACTGTTAGCATCGCTGAGTACCTCTGAGGACTATTCGTGGTGTTTGGTTCATGCAAACGGCTGCCAGGGAGCTAACATTCGGTTCCATTCGAATGAATGGAAAGTGTTGAACCAGGGGCACCCAGGGAAAGCTGTTAATGGCGGCTGGGCAGGGTAACTCCCAAATGGTGTCTCAGACCTGGACCATAGTCAGTGGGCAGGAGGCCAGCTTCCACACTCCCTCAGGAGTTCGTGGCAAACGTACGTGGGAAGGAGCGTTTGTCACTGTATCGTAATTCCCTGGCCTTCCTCCCGAGGCAAAATTAGGGGTGGTTGTTGCTCACTCCTTGAGCTTTACCCAGAAACGTGCAAAGAGTTCATCCAGTAAACTCAATAAACTTGCCACAGAGTGAAAGTGAACATCCTGGTGCGTATGCAGACTCTATGAGTCAGTAAAAAGGGCATCTGCCATCTTGAGAATTGGATTTGTGTCTAGGTAGCAGCTTGGAATGATAGTTTGTTACTTGGGAAATGGTTTGAGGCAGTCCAGCAGGGACTGGGATAATCCCCACCTGTCCAGGGAGTAGGAGGGCATGGATCCACACAGTGAGTATAAGAGCTTAACATAATTTTCTTTTCCTGGCTATTTTACACTCCCTTATGGGATTTTTAGTTTAGCTTTTTAATGGACAGGGGAGCTCAGGAGGGAGGGAGATTTTATTCACTGTATTAATTATTCAATTAATTATTCCTGTCTTGGGGAGAAGCTTTGCCCATAAGTGATGCTGTCAGAAAGAAAATTACGGTTTAATCTTTTACAACTACAAGTATAAAATGTTTTAAGAGTTAGAGAAGAAAAGGTAGTAATAGCAGGTTCTCTACACAAGAGCATCCACTGCAGTCAAATATTAAGTGGATATTTTTTTTACTGCAAAAGTAAGTAGATGCTCACTGGTATAACAGATAAAATAAGTTAAATGAATCCATCTGTCAAACCATCAATTGCATCTTGTTTAGATCCAAACATTATTAGTGGAGAAACTGCATGGATTCTAAGACAAAATGATTCCAGAAACTGACATGGATAGTTTTCACATCAGTCACATCATTTGATGTTCTCAAGATTTACACTTACGGGGTTATTCAATAAAGTGAGAATTCAAAGTGAATTTCAAACCTCAGGTCAAAGAAACATCTCTAAGCCAACTATGCTTTCAGTTCAGCTACTATGGTCTGAAATGTGAAATTCTCACTTTAGTAAATAACCCTGCTAATCTTACAGCTTTAATCACCGTAAATAACTAGGTAATAATGTGACTTTGATCATTGCCGATGGAGGCAGGTGAATAAGTAGTGACAGAGTTTCTAGAAATGTCTTTTGAACAGGAACCTAACATTTAAATATATAGACAAATTTCTATGTGATAAAGGCGCTTAAAATGCAGAGAGTATAACTCTTGATAACGCTTCAACACTCCTGTGGGAATCCCTCTCACCCACAAAAACCATGCATACAAGAAAGTGGATAAGAGCCCAAAGAGCTATAATCTTCAAGAGTGGAGCGTAAAAAATGGTGGAAATATAACCACCTACCCTAAATGGGGGTATGTCAGATTTTGCCAAGCTTGGATGATACTTCGATCCAGTAGGTATCAAGGCATGTATGAAAGAAAAATATGGGGGAAATACATAGTATAATTCTATGATAGGAAAAAAGGAAACGTATATACGTTGTAGATTAACAACTCACATGGAGTAGAGCCTCGGATAGGACAGGCTCAAATCTCTTCAGCAGTAGTGCCGTCTGGTGTTGTAGCATTGTCAAGAGTTATACTCTCTGCATTTTAAGCGCCTTTATCACATAGAAATGTGTATATATATTTAGACCAGCGGTTCTCAACCTGTGGGTCACGACCACTTTGGGGGTCGCCTAAGACCTATAGGCGTGCGCACGGGGTGTGCTGGGTGTGCCTGGGAACGGCCTAATCCCCGCCGTCGCGCTATGTGCCTCCATGGGCCGGTGAGGGAGATAAAAGATCTCCCTCACCGGCCCACAGGCAAGGAGGGAGGCAGGAGAGAACTCGGGGAGCTCTAGCCAGCAGCTCTGCCAGGTTACTCTCGCGAGGTCGGAGCATTGCCGCAGCAACGCTCAGATCTCGCGAGAGTGAACTCTAGCCCCGCACTGGGCCACCAGGGATGGCGGCAGCACAGTCCCCTCTCTTAACTAAACGTTCCCCCCATCCCCACACAATACACACAAACAGCACCCACACACACACAGCACCCTTACACAGCACCCTCACACATACAGCACCTTCACACATACAGCACCCACACACATACAGCACCCATACACACACAGCACCCTTACACATACACACACAGCACACACACTAACAGCACCCTCACACACACACACAGCACCCTTACACACACACCACCCTCACAAACACATACACACAGCACCCTCCCACACACAGCACCCTTACACATACACACACAGCACACACACACTAACAGCACCCTTACGCAAACAACACCCTCACACACAGCACCCTTACACATACATATGCAGCACTCACACACACACACCACCCTTACACACACACACACCGCACCCTCACACACACAGCACCTTTACACTCACACAGCGCCCTCACACACACACACAGCTCCCTCACACACACACAGCGCCCACACACACACACAGAGCACAAACACACACGGCACCCTCACACACACAGCAGCGTGTAACAATGATAATACATCCTGCATATCAGATATTTACATTACGATTCATAGCAGTAGCAAAATTACAGTTATGAAGTAGCAACAAAAATTATTTTATGGTTGGGCGTCACCACAACATGAGGAACTGTATTAAAGGGTCGCGGCATTTGGAAGGTTGAGAACCACTGATTTAGATGTTTTGTATCTCTCTATACCTGTGTGGGCTGTGAAAATAAAACTATGGCTGCATTCACTAAAAAAACAAGGTGTGGCAAAAATATTGATATACTATTTGACGATCAAGTCATACCTATGGATAGTACTGACAATACTATAGACACAAAAAATTGTCAATAAAAATTAAAAAAGGCATTAGCTAGGGAAATGCGAATTAAGTGGGAGGTAGCCACAATGGAGAAAAAAATCACCCCAAGAGGCTTAAGGTTCACTAAAAACCCCTCTTTTGATCAAGACGAGGAGGAATTTATTGATGAATGGATGGAGATATTGGAGAGTTCTCCTTTGGACTAATGGGACGAATAGTTAAAAGGAGAACAAAAAAAAAAATAGACAGTGAGATTAACACCCTTCAGGCACTGGCGTACATACCGCAGTCGCAGGGGTCGCAGCTGTGACCAGGCCCGTCACTCCAGGGGGTCCGGCCGCCCTGCGGAACACTGCGACCGGGTACCCGCCGCCATCTTTTTCGGGCCACAGCTCGCGCGGCAAACCGCTGGGGCCGCCAGCCAAAGGGGTCCATCGGGTGGCCCATGCTGTCAGGGCAACCCGATGGAGATGGATTGTCAGGGGGCACGGTCAGCGCTAGGTGCTTTAACAGCATGACCGGGCCCCCTGTGATGACATAACACGCTGGGAGGAAGTGACTGCACTGGTCACTCTCCCCAGCATACACACAGAGCCCACACGGGAGGAAACAAAGGAGGGAGTCAGAGTGGGAACTCTGACTCCCATCAGGCTGAGCCACAACTGGACCCCAGGGAGTCACCCTCCTGCACCTAAAAGGAAACAGGAGGGTGACTTAAACATTTTGTGCGTGTGTGTTTGCATGTATGTGTGTATGTGCCTGTCCGAGTGTGTGTGCCTGTCTGTCTGTATGGATGTGTGCCTGTTTGTCTGTATGTGTGTCTGTCTGTGTTTGTGTGTGTGTGTGTGTGTGTGTGTATGTGTGTCTGTGTGTGTGTGTGTGTGTGTCTGCCTGTATGTATGTGCGCCTGTCTGTTTGTATGTATCTCTTTGTATGTATGTGTGTCTTGTGTGTGTGTGTGTGTGTCTGTCTGTCTGTCTGTCTGCATGTGTCTGTGTTTCTGTATGTGTCTGTCTGTATGTATGTATCTGTCTGTGTGCCTGTCTGTATGTGTGTGTGTGTCTGTCTGTATGTCTGTGTGTGTGTCTGCCTGTATGTGTGTGTGTGTGTGCCTGTCTGTTTGTATGTATGTATGTTTCTTTGTATGTATGCGTGTCTTGTGTGTGTGTCTGTCTGTGTGTATGTGTCTGTCTGTATGTATGTGTCTGTATGTGTGCCTATCTGTATGTATGTATGCCTGTCTGTATATATGTGTGTGTGTCTGTCTGTATGTGTGTCTGTCTGTCTGTGTGTATGTGTCTGTGTGTATGTATCTGTCTGTATGTATGTGTCTGTATGTGTGCCTGTCTGTATGTATGCCTGTCTGTATGTATGTATGTATGTGTGTGTCTGTATGTGTGTGTGTCTGTCTGCATGTATGTGTCTGACTGTATGTGTGCCTGTCTGTTTGTATGTATGTGTCTGTGTGTGTGCCTGTTTGTGTCGGTCTGTATCTGTGTGTCTGTCTGTATGTTTGTATGTATGTGTGCCTGTCTGTATGTATGTGTGTGTGTGTCTGTCTGTGAGTATGTGTCTATATGTATCTGTCTGTATGTGTCTATGTGTGTGTGTGTGTGTCTCTATGTATGTATTTGTGTGTGTGTCTGTCGGGGAGGGGGGTGGGGGGGTCCACGGATCAGTTTTGCACTGGGGCCCCATGGATTGTGTGTACACCACTGCCTTCAGGATATACTTCACAACAATATGTCCTCAGAAGGGTATTCCTCTAGGGTGGACAACATCTAAACAAACATAGAAAAAATGGAAACATCTGTAATAGATACAAAAAAGAAGAAATACACAAGAGATAGGAATGATTATGCTAGAAATCAGGTACGCACATATTCAAAGTGGCAATCAAAACCACGACATCATACCCAGAGGGAAAGCCATCCAAATGGATGGAATAAAATACCACTTTCAAATAGATACCACCAGAGTTCGACCCCACATAAGAGAGCCAAAAGAGATCAGGGACACACAAAAGAATCCACTAACAAATATCACCATATGCCAGGAAATTCCAACACACCCGAGTTGGTAGTGAAAAGAAAAGAACCCTACAAATGTATAAGCCACCAATCCAGAGCTCAAAACACCTTCTCTTTTTTGATTTGATTGTCTAGACAGATCCCCAGAAAAAGGGGTTTTCCGGGAGGTATACCCAAAGGACAGACACAAACAACAGGAAAACAAAGGGAAATCACCAGGGAAAACAATGAAAGTGTAAAAGAAGGGAAAATCGAGGCTCTAATCCAAGTGAGTTGTTAATCTGTAATGTATATATGTTTCCCTTTTTCCTATTATAGAATTATACTATGTATTTCCCCCATTTTTTTCTTACATACATGCCTTGATATCTACTGGATCGAAGTATCATCCAAGCTTGGCAAAATCAGGAACCTAACATTGTCTTTATTTATAAACAGGAACTCTTGTGTACAATTCTAAATGTGGAGTGATCACCACGGCAATTAATGAGATGCTCCTATGTAATGTGGCACTGAAAACATCCGGAGCTGCTAGTCAGACCAAACATTTGCATGTCACCTCGAAACACATGTGAATAGCATTTTTTTATTAATACGTCATATTCATGGAATGAAGGAATACAGGGATGTGCATGTGAACTGTAAGTGTGTTTATTCATGCAGGGATATATTTGTGAAGTGTCTGTGTGTGGATGCTGGGGTATATATGGGTGAAGTGTCTGTGGGTGACTGCAGGAGTGTATATGTACTCCATCTCCCTACACATTTCACCTGCCCTCATTTCCTTGTTACCCCTAGATCTCCCCTTTTATATCCCCTTTCTGCATGCTCCCTGCCATTCCATTGCTTCCATGCCCCCTTCTTTTCTCCTTTCTCCCAATGTCTGCCCATTTTCTGCTTATTATGCTATCCTTTCAAGCTATTGCTAACCACTGTCCAGTGGCAAGAGGGAGCCACAGAGAGCTGTACTTATACTGGTTCTAAATACAGCTCCGTCCCGGCTCGCTATGTTGTTGTAAGAAATTATGACCCTCTTACAAGGATATTCTTTTAGGGAATGTGTGACAAATAAGACACAAACACAAGTGTATAATAAAATGTATTGTAAATATTAATTTAGGATACTGTTACAGATTTTAGAAGGATATAATACACATTATAACCATATCCAGTACATAATCAAAAGATACATAGTAAAAGGACAAGACATTTGATTGAAGATCTTCCCTTTGCTCCTTCATCTTTGGTAGTCTGGGATAGTCTCTCTCAGCTCACCATTGCACCTCTGCTTGCTGCAATCCTCCCCAAAAGAGACGAAAAGAGAAAGAGATGAGAGGGCTCCAACCTCCTTGGCTGTTGTTCTTTAAAAGACTGATTCTTGCAGTCATTAACTACATGTCCCAGAATCCTCTTTCCCTCCCAAAAGTGGTTTATTCAGCGCCCTTTTTCCAGAGAGTTCTGTCTTTACACAAGTCTTTCCCTTTGATCTCTTCCCTCCAGCTATACTGTAACATTGTGTGTGGCCTTTTTCGTCGAATGCTCAGCGGTAGATTGTCGTCTACGCTCTGGAACTATTCTCGGACACTTATTTTGACGAACACCGTTGAAGCTCACCATCATCCATCCCATTCGTTTCTTTATGCACGAACAATATACTGTTCGGACTTTCAACATACGAAAGAGACCGACCCCAGGTAGCTGAGAGCATGGAGCTATTTTCGGATACATTTTGCACAGCCGGTGAACTGAATCTTTAACTCGATGGCATTTGAACTGTGTTCGTGGGATCTAAACGCTATTCAAATATATTGTGCGCTCAGATCCAAGCTATCTAAGGGTATGTTGAACATGGGGACTCCATTTGGTAAAATATGAGTTATGGATTTTAATACAGTTTTGTTACAATGTAAAAAGAAAATGTTTCTCTCTACCTGGAGATAATTAAGTTTGCTCCAACCACTTAAGCCAATTATCTCCAGGATAGAGAGGAAGGATTCCATTGTTTGTAGTGGGTGTGTTTAATAATTGTACTGTAAACTGATTGGTTCTGTACTTTGTGTCACAGTCTTCCACAAGGTCCCCTTGCTGGAAGACTATCATAAAAGACCGAGTGTGGCCAGCACTTGTCTTTACCCATATGTTTCACTTCCTCAATTCCAACTCTCTCCTTGACCCTCTTCAATCTGGCTTCCCCCCTCTCCACTCTACTGACACTGCTCTTATCAAAGTTATTAACAACCTTAATGCAGCAAAATCCCCAGATTTTACTATTAACATGACGTAAAGTCATGATTTTATTAATGACACGGAGGCGAGTATTATGCATTCTCTTTCTTTATTATACTCCCAGCAGCAAGAAAAGGAAGTATGAGAGAATCATATAAAAAAACATAACAACAGCTTGGTAACAGTGGCACCAATCAGCATCCAGTATTATCCATATGGGTGTGGTGCTCCTTGACTCCTCCTCTTTCTGCGTAGATCCCGAAGACCATAGTGTAAGTTCCAAAATATTCCAACAACACGAATTCCCGAAACAAAACCATAACCGGAAATTCAACAGGGAACAGCTTCAACCGCCAACTTTCACAGGTGTATTCAAGCTAAAAAAGAAGAAATATATGGTAATATCGAGACTTGCGACTGCTATTCCATAGTTATCCAACTCTTCCACTATGTTATTCCAACACTATAAGTATATAGAAGTATATTCATCACAAACCTTACTCACCTTCGTGTCGTGTATGACACTTTACCTACCGTATTTTGTCATTCCAAAGGTCCCATGATTGACCTGTAACTTAAACACCACCCTGGGTAGGGCGGGTGGGAATAATACTCACCTCCGTGTCATTAATAAAATCATGACTTTACGTCATGTTAATAGTAAAATCTGGGAATTTTATTAAAGACTCGGAGGCTCCTATTATGCTATTTTAAAGCTGAGCAACCACCAAACTGGAAATATGTTGTACCGGTCGAAAGTAGAAATTACAAAACGTAGACTCATTCGACCAATCAGCTGCTCGTAAGATGTCTTCCAATCTACAACCTATCATGGAAGCTTTAGAAGCCATCGCCCCGCGAATGGAGTGTGAGGAGAAAATTGAAGTGTCTATGCCTGCCACGGATAATAACCATTTGATCCAACGAGCTAAAGTAGGAGTAGATACTGGTAGGTGCGGTACTCTGAACGAGATGAATAATGGATGGGTTTGATCAGGACGGAGCGAGCTTGTGCGGCGCTCGTATTCCTTAAGGCATAACACTGGGCACAGATTCGGATTGTCTGGAAACGACGGGTAGAAAACCTCCTTAGTTGCAGACTTTGTCCTTCGTGAAATATTGAAGGAAACTCCGTTCGGAACAAAAGCGCGTGCTTGCCAATCCAATGCTCTGACATCAGCAACCCGTTTACATGAAAGTAAACAAAACAACATCAACAGTTTGGTTGATAATTGTTTAAGAGAAAGTTCATGATTCAAAGGCCAAGACTCGAGAAAACGAAAAATCACATTGACATCCCAGAAGGAAGAATACCGAGCCTGCGGGGGTCGAGCAAACCGGATGCCTTTGAGCAAACGACAGATGAGGGTATGTTTACCTATTGGAGTACCATCCAATCCCCTATGTCTCGCCGATATCGCTGACCTGTATAGATTTATAGTCCGAAAGGCTTTACCTTCTTCAAAGAGTAGAGTCAGGAATTGTAAGATTATTTTCACAGGAGCTGATATGGGATCCACTGATTGTCCCACGCACCAATCAGTCCACTTCCTCCAAGCCAACCCGTAGGAACGTCTGGTACCTGGTGCCCAAGACTCTGCCAAGAGACCGAGTGTTGTCTGCGAAACATCCTTGAGATTCCATGTTCCCCTGAAAGGAACCAAGCCATCAGGCGAAGTAGACCCTGGTCGATCAACTCGTGACTCATTCCCTCTGGATCGGTCAGGAGGTAGGATATGTCCGGCAAGAGTCGTGGGGAATCTATCGACATTTCTAATAACTGTGGGAACCAAGGTTGTGACCTCCATATCGGGGTTATCAGCACTAGAGTCCCTTTGGAATATCGAAGGTATGCAAGGGTCCGAGAGATTAGGCTGAACGGTGGAAAAGCGTAATTCTTGCCCTTGGACCAGTCTTGTAAGAATGCGTCTGCCAGCGCATCTGGGTCCGGTCTCCAACTGAAGAACCGAGGAAGTTGGGTGTTCAGCCGAGACGCGAAGAGATCTATGTTGAGAGGTCCCCAAAGTCGAGAAAGACGTTGGAAGATCATTGGGTGGAGATGCCAATCCCCTGTGTCTCAAAGATATCGAGAATTCCAATCCGCTAGTGCATTGTCCCGTCCTGGGATATATTCCGCTATTACCGAAATGTTGTGTTTTAGACAAAAATGCCAAAAATCTCGAGCCATCAGTGCCAGAACTTTCGATTTCGTTCCTCCTAGGTGGTTGATATAACGCACCGCCGAAACGTTGTCCATCTTGATTAGGATAGAGCATGAGATGCCTGTGGGGGTCATGCTGCGAATGGCAAAGGATGCCGCTAACAGTTCTAGGCAGTTGATGTGTAACAACGTTTCTTCGTTGGACCATCTGCCACCGGTGGAAACTGAGCCACAATGTGCGCCCCAGCCGTGTAAGCTGGCGTCTGACTCTATGACCAGATCTGGCGTAGACCCGAATATCGCCCGTCCGTTCCACGCCTCCATGTGGGCTAGCCACCATGTCAACTCCTCTCTGGAATCTTCGTCCAGTGTAACACAGGTTTCGTACGAGTGTCCGGAGTGCAGATATGAGGCCTTGAGCCTTTGTAGGGCACGATAATGTAACGGGCCCGGGAAGATTGCTTGTATGGACGATGCCAGTAGCCCTATGATCCTCGCAAGTTGTCTGAGGGAAATGGTCATACGAATCATAAGTCGTCTGATCTCTTTCTTGATCGAAATCATTTTGTCTTTGGGTAGGCACAACCTCTGCTGTACAGAGTCCACTTGAAATCCCAGAAATTCCATGCATCTGGAGGGTTGAAGGACAGATTTCTCCCAATTCACCAAGAATCCTAAGTTCTGGAGAAGGTGTGTTGTCCAAGACAAATGAACCCGTAATTGGGATTGAGATTGAGACAGGAGAAGGATATCGTCCAGGTAAATTATTAACTTGACCCCTCGTGTGCGCAGGAAGGCAATCACCGGCTTTAGTACCTTTGTGAAGCACCATGGAGCAGAGGACAGACCAAACGGTAGACATACAAACCTCCACTTCGTTCCTTGCCACTGAAACTGCAGTAGGTTTTGGTGTGCTTCCGCGACAGGGATTGTCAGATAAGCATCCCGTAAATCTATCTTGACCATCCAATCTGATGGTAGTAGGATGTCCCGAAGGCAATGAATACCCTCCATTTTGAAATGGTGATATTGGACAAACGCATTTAGGGGTCGGAGATTTATTACTGGGCGTACTCCACCCCCTTTCTTTGGAACCAGAAACAGGTTGCTTACAAACCCTTCTGTGTCCCATGGGATTTGTTGAATAGCGTGTTTTGACGCCAAATCTGCAATCTCTGCCGAGATCATCTTCTGGTGGTCGTTGGCCATGTTTAGTTCTCGAGGGAACTGCACCTGAGTAGGGTAAGAGACTAGCTCCATCAGGTACCCCTGTACTGTATTTAATACCCAAACATCTGAGGTTAGAAGTTTCCAAGCATGGTGAAACAGTGCCAATCTGCCCCCCACTTTTATATGGGAAAAATGGAGATACTCGGTACTCACCATAAGGTCGTCTGCCTGAGACAGACCCCCGCGGTCCGCGGGAGTTCCAGGGCGTCCACGAGATGGGAAGAACGGGGTATAAGTTCGTTCTGGTACCGGTCTCTGGGTATTAAAGGAGCCTCTGCCGGCTCTAAATGAGCCACGAAATGCACGGCCGGATAGACGGCTCCTACCTCTACCGGCCCCTCCAAAAACCCGAGGTGCAAATACTCTTTTTAGAGAAGTCTGAGCTTTGTCAATTGCTGTAAATGTTTTAACGTACAGCCCAAGATCCTTAATAAAGGATTCACCAAAGAGTAAGCCTTTAGCGGCTGGCCCCGGCTCATTGGTCGCCATACTGACCAGTTTGGGCTCTATTCTCATGAGAATCGCCTTGCGGCGTTCGGTTGCCATGGCTGTATTGGCGTTACCCACCATGCAGACTAACCTCTGCAACCAGCCTTTCGCTACTTCGAAATCGAAGTCATTCTCACCAGATTGGGCAGATTCCACTAACTCATAAAGTTTGGTGATGGGCCCCAGAGTGTCCAGGAACTTGTCCTGGCAGTTCCGAAGGGAGAAATTCAAACCTTTCCTAGGTTTTCAACCCGACTTATTCAAAAATTGGACCAATTGGGGATCCACGTCAGGGGTTTTTCCCACTGAGTCAGGAAGGAAAGGCCGCGGGCATTCCGCCCGTAGCTTGTTACGTCCTTCCTTAGATAAATGTTTTCTTACTCTTAGCGCGAGGTACCTCGCAATGTGCTCAGGCGGCTCCCATTCCGCCGAGCGAGGGTGACGGAGGTTATCTGGGTCAAACAACGGGTTACCCAGAGGGTCCCGCAAATCGTCGCCCTCGCCCGATACGGCAGGCTCAGTGCCCTGAGCCGTAGCCTTCTGGGTTGCAGTGTGAAATTTCACCTCGGACCCTGAATCGGAATATTCCGCACTATAATGGTCCATGCATAACTCATCATACTCCTCCTCCAAACTCCAGTCCGAATCGGACAAGTCCTCTTGGGCACGTGCCCGCTTCCAAGATCTGTCCGATTTTGCCCGGCCAGGGGCTCTATTGCGCGGTGGTATCGCGCCATCCAGGGGCGTATTAGCCGCGAGGCAAACAAGGCATTTGCCTTGGGCGGCATTTTTCAGGGGGCGGCAAAAAACGCCGCCCCCCAAATGCCCAAGGTAAATGTCTTGTTAGCCTCGCGGCTAACAGACATTCTGGGCGCTGGGCGGCAGTGGCTGCAGCGCTGGGCGGGCGGCCAGCGAGGGAGCTCTTCCCCTGAGCGCTCTGCTCAGCTCCCTCGCGCGCCGCCAGCAGAGTGAGGCCGGGAGCCGGGTTGATGACGTCATATTCCGGCTCCCAGCCTCACTCTGCTGGCGGCGCGCGAGGGAGCTGAGCAGAGCAGAGCGCTCAGGGGAAGAGCTCCCTCGGCGGCCGCCCGCCCGCCCAGCGCTGCAGCCACTGGACCCCAGGGAGAGGAAGAACCCCCCCCCAGCATTACCAAAGGTAAGGAGGCTGGGGGGGGTTAAATAAAAAAACAAAACAAAAAACACTAGTGTGTGTGTGGAAGTCTGTTAGTGTGTATGTTAGTGTGTGTATGTATGTTAGTGTTAGTGTTAGTGTATGTATGTTAGTGTTAGTGTATGTATGTTAGTGTGTGTGTATGTTAGTGTGTGTGTGTCTGTTAGTGTGTGTGTGTCTGTTAGTGTGTGTCTGTTAGTGTGTGTGTGTATGTTAGTGTGTATGTTAGTGTGTCTGTTAGTGTGTGTATGTTAGTGTGTGTGTGTATGTTAGTGTGTGTCTGTTAGTGTTTGTGTCTGTTAGTGTTTGTGTCTGTTAGTGTGTATGTTAGTGTTAGTGTGTGGATGTCTGTTAGTGTGTGTATGTTAGTGTGTGTGTGCATGTTAGTGTTTGTGTCTGTTAGTGTGTATATGTTAGTGTTAGTGTGTGTGTGTCTGTTAGTGTGGATGTCTGTTAGTGTGTGTGTTTGCCTGTTAGTGTGTGTGTGTGTTTGCCTGTGAGTGTGTGTGTCTGTTAGTGAGTGTGTGAGTGTGTGTCTGTTAGTGACTGTGTGTTTCTGTTAGCTAGTGAATGCGTATCTGTCAGTGAATGTGTGTGTGTGTGTATTTAGAAGGCGGAGCAGGGGGAAGGTTGGGTGGCGGTTGCGCGGGTGGGGGTGGCGCGGGGGGGTGCCTGAGTTTTGTCCTGCCTAGGCCAGCACAAAACTAGGATACACCACTGGCGCCATCCTTGACAGCCTGAGGCGTGCCAGTCATTGCAGGCTGAACCTGCAGTTCTGGAGGGGAGGCAATATGTTTGCTTTTCGTCAAGGCTTTACGTCCCGGTTGTACCACATTAGTGGTTCCCGGATTTAGTGTGCTCTGAGGGCCACAACTCTGAGACTGTATCAGCGCTTTGGTTACAGATTGTGTGATAGAGGATGACATGACCCCCATCGCGGAGGCTAACGCCTTGTTTATGGATTGTGCCATGGTAGAATCGAGGAGGGATTGAAATTCCTCCGATGCCATGAGGCTGGCGTCATCCTTACATGCCCTGTCTGAGGGGGAAACCCCTGGTGTAGGACACACAGACCCTGCAGGTCTTTCATTCTCATCTTGCATTTTAGCAATAATATAAACTCACAGGGGATAAAACACCCAAGTCCACTCAGAGTTAGAATTATAGGGCCCAATAAGGTAATGCCACTAGTAGTAGCTAATGGTTAAGAACGGTAACTGAAATGACCTGTAGGGAAAAAATATACTAGCTAAGGCTAAGGACAAAAAGGGTGTCAGGATAGAGTAATCCCCCACACCAACACTTACAGTTTGACCAGCAAAGACAGCAACACAGTAAATAAGCACAGGATGGGTCTGGGAGTGCGCCAGGAGGGTAGGAGAAACCGTTATCCACCTACAGAATCGGTCCGCAGCAATTTCCCGCCGAAAACGTACTTAAAATGGCCGCCGCGAGAAAATTTACATAGGCGGCGACATAAACCAAAAAGATGGCCGCCGCGGCACGTACTGCGCATGCGCGGCCGTTAGGAAAAGGGGGAAAACCGGCAAAAGAGCGTTTGCGCATGCGCGGACCGGCAGAAAACCGCGGAATAGACCGCGACCAAAACAGAGAGCGGCTAAGGAGAGCAGCTAAGAACAGCCCTGCTGCACCCACGCAAAAACGGAAACGAGCAAGAAAGAGGAGGAGTCAAGGAGCACCACACCCATATGGATAATACTGGATGCTGATTGGTGCCACTGTTACCAAGCTGTTGTTATGTTTTTTTATATGATTCTCTCATACTTCCTTTTCTTGCTGCTGGGAGTATAATAAAGAAAGAGAATGCATAATAGGAGCCTCCGTGTCTTTAATAAAATCCAAAGGCCACTACTCCATACTAATTCTTCTTGACCTCTCTGCTGCCTTTGACACTGTTGATCATACTCTTTCTTTAAACTCTTCAATACCTTGGTCTCTGTGACACTGTCCTCTCGTGGTTTTCCTCTTTTCTCTCCCAACACTCATTCAGTGTCTCCTTTTCTAATGATACCTCCTCCCCTCGTCCTGTCTCGGTTGGAGTCCCCCTAGGCTCTGTCCTTGGTTCCCTTCTATTTTCTCTTTATACTGTCTCTCTTGGCAAACTTATTACCTCATTTGGATTCCACTACCACCTGTACACTGATCACACCCAGATATATCTCTTCTCCCCGTACCTCTCCCCTGCCGTCCTGCAACGTGTCACTGCTTGCTTTTCCTCCATCTCTGACTGGATGTCCTCCCGCTTTCTGAAATTCAATCTCTCTAAAACTGAGCTCCTTGTCTTTCCTCCTCCTAACACTGATCCTCCTCTTTTGCTCTCCCTTCAGGTTAGTGGTACCCACATAAGTCCATCCTTGCAAGCGCGCTGTCTTGGTGTCATACTTGATTCTGACCTCACCTTTGAGCCTCACATCCAGTATGTTGCCAAATCCTGTAAATTCCATCTCAACCTCTACCTTACATACCTGTCTCTTGCTCTCTCCTAAAGAGCAGCACATTACTCTCTCCTCAAGCTCTGCTTCACTCCCACCTTATTTGATTGCTATTTCCTGTCCTAATGTGTTTTATACCCCACCTCCTATAGACTGTAAGGTCGTTCGAGCAGGGTCCTCTTAAACTTATCGTTCCTGTAAGTTTTCTTGTAGTTGTCCTATTTATAGTTAAATCCCCCCTCTCATAATATTGTAAAGTGCTACGGAATCTGTTGGCGTTATATAAATGGCAATAACAATAAGTATAATAATAATATGGGCATATTTACTAAAGTGAGAATTCTTGGGAATTAAAGAAAGGGAATTTTAAATTTAAGGCCACAGTTGCTGAACTAGAAGAACAGCTGACTGAGAATTTTTTTGGTTTAGCTAAATTGGACTTAGAGGAACACTCCAGACACCAGAGCAACTTAATCTAAATTAAGTTGTAATGGTGCCTGGAGGCCCCCGGGCGCATTCTTACAAAGTTCCCTCTAGCACCAATCTCAGCTCCCCCCGGAGGCACCCAGCTTCTGATATTTTAGATTCACAAAGCGGGGAATGCCGATGGCCAGGAACACTGTATTTCCAAGCCAGGTTTGTGAATGGGGAGTCACTGATTGGTTGAGAGCGTCAGCAACTCACTTTCAGCCAATCAATGGTGCCCCTGCCCGGTTGCACTCCGCACTTTCTGAATCTGACATTTCAGAAGCCGAATGCCACCGGGAGGGAGCTGATATCGGCGCTGGAGACAACTTCAGGGTTAAATCGTTCGAAAATAGTTTTACCCCTGAAAGTAAGAAACATAGAAACATAGAATGTGACGGCAGATAAGAACCATTCGGCCCATCTAGTCTGCCCAATTTTCTAAATACTTTCATTAGTCCCTAGCCTTATCTTATAGTTATGATAGCCTTATGCCTGTCCCACGCATGCTTAAACTCCTTTATTGTGTTAACCTCTACCACTTCAGCTGGAAGGCTATTCCATGCATCCACTACCCTCTCAGTAAAGTAATACTTCCTGATATTATTTTTAAACCTTTGTCCCTCTAATTTGATACTATGTCCTCTTGTTGTGGTAGTTTTTCTTATTTTAAGAATGTACCTGAGGGCCTCCTGGCACCATAACAACTTAATTGAGTTAAAGTTGTTTTGGTGCCTGGAGTGTTCCTTGGAATTTTAAATTATTTTTCAGTTCACTTTGAATTCCTGACTATTAAATGTATTTAACACTAACACCGTTTAGTGAATAACCCTATAAGTGTCTGAATCTCTCCTCTTAGTTTGGAAGATACACACGGTTATAAGAATTGTTGAAAATTCTAAGTGAATTTCAATTAAAGGCCAAAAAAGCCAAACTGGAAAAATTCACCCAGTCAATTATACATTCAGATCAGCTACTATGACCTTAAATTTGAAATTCACTTTGAATTCACTATGAATAATTCTCACTGTAATAAATTACCCTGTTTGTGCACATGCATCACACTGTACATTATGCATGCAACATCACCCGCTTTTGGCAGGTCAGGACCAATTTTCAGGAGTCTTGTCCTGCGGTTGCAATTTAGTTTACTGGTGTCCAGCATCCCGGGGTACCAGGGCACTGTCCTTCTGCCTCTCAGCGCAAGCGCATCATTAAACACAGTGGGCACTAGGACCATGCAATAAAGAAAGGCTGAACTTGATGGATTCTTGTTTCCTATCAGTATATGTTTAAACATATAAAATAAACATATACTGTATTGTGATCACTATTTTGTTTAACACATTCTACTTAATAGGTACTGTACATAGGGAAAGCTATTTCCCCCCCCTGATATTGAACATTTGTGTAGCACCGCCTGCTGGATGCAATCCAGATTAGCAGACAGCTCAGACTAGTTTCAGGGGTGGGATGTATTTCAGTTATTTCCCTCTAATTGGCTGCATGTAACATGTCACGCCTTGTGGGTAATTTAAAGCCAAACAGTCAGCTGCACTGAGTCATTGGTCTGTGAATTGCCTGAGTGTAAGTGAGTTTCTGGTTTGTTTGAATTATAGCATATTCAGTACTGGTTTGCTTCTCCCCTCCCTTGTTGGTTGGTGATCATGTTCTGGGATGTCCAGACACCATTAGCATTATTAAAAAGGTTAGTGTAGTGTGTGGAATTTTGGTAAGTACATCCCTTCACAGTGTGTCTTTAATATGTATCTCTGGATGAGACTTAAACCACTACAATAAGGCTTCAGGTATGATGTGCTCTATACCATTACTACAAGAAACCTCTTTTTCTGTATAGCCAGCATTAGTTTGTAACTTTTTTTTTTTTTTTTTTAATCTGTTAAACTAGGGTCTCTATACTGACCTAGTGGGTGACCAACTAACATTGCTTCTTGTATTATTTGATTCTGTCCTGCCCCTCAAAATACAGTGAAGCATGTTGTTATTTTGAGTTTCTGGTTGTCTACTTTCTAGGAATTATTATTTTTTTTTTTTTTTTGTTTGTTTTTCCTACATGAAAGCTTGTATATTTTTAATTTTCTCTTTGCAACTTCATTATTTAAATCTCTCCCTGATCATATTGACAGGATGAGAGATTTAAATGGTATCTGTCTGTCCATAATGTCTGTTTTTTTTTAAAATTTTATTATTTATTTATTTATTTTGAGACCGCACATAAAACTTTCTCTGTTGTGGTTGGTAGAAAACAAAACTAGAATTCTGTCGTTCTTAAACAGGGCTGGCCTTTAACCCCTTAAGGACATGTCATGATTTCCTTTTATTCCAGAAGTTTGGTCCTTAAGGGGTTAAAAGCTTTCAAATTGTGCAGATGCACAGGGGCACCTAATTGCTGACAAAGATTGCAACAGCAGTAGCCACCTTAAGGCACTCTGGCGGGGTACCTTATATCCAGTGTTACTCCGTAAAAAGTGCAACTATTATTTCATATATTGATAATTTGTTTGCCTGCATTCCACAATATCCTTTCCCTTGCAGTTACGGCCCTCTATTAGGGAGTCAGAGTGCAGCTGAGGGAACGTAGTAACTAAGGTTAGGGAGTACGGTTACAGGGTGACTCCTTTCAGATGCTGGCAACGAAGCCAACATGTCTCCTTAATATGGGAAGTTCTTCATGTTTGGAGAAGCAGGTCAAATCACAGAAGGCTGCTGGAGGAGCACAAGCAGAACATAGGAGGATGTTAAATGGAGAGCAACACCCACAAAGTTTAGAACACCTTGGTGCTGGATCAGAGATGTAAATTTCTTGAACACTTACAGTGAATACATGATGTATCTTTGTGATACGTGATGTATTAGGGGGTGTTTTAGGTTGTCTGTAAAAACTGGTGACAGTCTCACTTTAAAGCACAATTCCACACCCCTAAAGCACCTCTGCTTGCTGAAGTGGTTTATGGGTGTGGAGTATCCCATAGTGACAGTTTTAAAAAGTGCCGGTTTCTATTCGAAATAGACTTCTTTATAAACCGAGGAGTTTCTTCCTGCTTCTGTTGGCTCACCTGAGCAAACATAAGTGCAGCCTCTATTTGAGTGCTCCTGCCTCCCCTACCTCAGACCAGGGTCCAATATGATGCTTGTATGCACACAGCAAATGAGAAGCTATTCCCCTGTGACTGAACGTAAGTAGAACTGGCACTTTTGAAAACTATTTTACACTATACCATCAAATTATTGCATAAAGCATACAAGTATTCATTGGAGATGTATCTGCTAAACAGTGATTTTCCCCTCCCCCCATGTAGACAGTGGAGTGTTCCTTTAACTCCTAAATGGTTGAGATTCGAACTGTAAGATTGCAGAGGCATGCTCTCTCCTCGACTGCACTGCATAGAACCAAGGTTTAGGAGATAGTCAGCACTCAAGGTCTTTTAGAAAAATAAAGGATCTTTATGGTAATTTCCCAATAGTGAACGTTTCAGTTCACGCAGGAACTTTCATCAGGACAAAGTATATTCTATATCTCTCACTCGACACTCCAATCCCTTGATCTCAATTAAATGGTCTCAGTGCAATGCCCTTGGTGTGTGGGGTTTTTATGTGCAGAGTTTTGCAGCGCATGATCTCTAGCTTTCAGATGCTTACATATTGGGAGTTAATACATTTCAGTCTCAGGCAGGAATGTTGAGACCAGTGCACTATGGTAGAGTGCAAAAATAAAACTACTTATTCCACACCGGTGGGCTCAACATCCATGGTTAGTGCAATAATTCAGTGTTGGGAATGCAAACCTGTATTCATAACACTATAGTGTTACTTTAAAACATTGCAAGATTATACACCTTAATGGACCACTCTAGGCACCCAGACCACTTCAGCTTAATGAAGTGGTCTGGGTGCCAGGTCCAGCTAGGGTTAACCCATTTTTTTTTTTTTTTTTATAAACATAGCAGTTTCAGAGAAACTGCTATGTTTATAAATGGGTTAATCCTTCCTCCAATTCCTCTAGTGGCTCTCTCATTGACAGCCGCTAGAGGCGCCTGCGTGATTCTCACTGTGAAAATCAGTGAGAGCACGCAAGTGTCCATAGGAAAGCATTGTAAATGCTTTCCTATGAGACCGGCTGGATGCGCGCGCAGCTCTTGCCGCGCGTGCGCATTCAGCGGAATGGGAGGAGAAGAGGAGAGCTCCCCGCCCGGCGCTGGAGAAAGTAAGTTTAACCCCTTCCTCTCCCCAGAGGCGGGAGGGGGACCCTGAGGGTGGGGGCACCTCAAGTAGTGTTTTCCTGGTACTATAGTGGTCCTTTAAGACTTCCTGACTGCCACTAGAGGTGTTTCCAACTCCAGAACAGAGTGAAACTCTGTCCTGCATTCAAATGCTGCTCATGGCAGTGACATTTGGTCGCGCGTGAGTGTCTCCAATACAGTTGTGGTGTGTTTTGAGACTAGGCTGCCAATCTTCAAATGCATAAAAAAAAAAACTCTCAAGCACTCATTGTGATAGATTTAAGCAGATTTATTGGACACCGTAATTTTTTTTACCTGTACCCAGGTCTTTATCAAGCTTGCGGTGTCCAATAAATCTGCTTAAAGGGATTCTATACTGCCAGGAAAACAAACCAGTTTTCCTGGCACTATAGGGTTATTAGGTCGCCCCCTTCAGCCACTTACCTTAATCCGGCACCAGGCTCCCTCGGCACTGGTGACCTCAGCTCCTGATTTGAAGCCGCGTGGGCATTCAAACTGCCCATAGGAAAGCATTCCTAATGCTTTCCTATGGATGTACAACATGAGTTCAATGAGACTTTTCACACTAAGAATCGCGGAAAGACTGTCGGGTAGACTGCCACTAGAGCCTCAATTAACCCTGCAATGTAAACATTTCTCTAAACTGCTATGTTTTCAGCTGCAGGATTAAAACTAGAGGGACCTGGCACCCAGACCACTTCACTGAAGTGAACTGGGTGCCTATTTTTTTTTTCATAATTTGGTATTTAACTTTCAAATGTATTGGTTATGTCCACTGTGTTTGTAATTATCTCTTCTGTGATGTTCTGGCTTGCTATTTAACAATATCACTCTAGTTGTAGTAGGGTGTTTTTTTTTTTATTTTAACTTTTTTTTTTTTTTTTCTCAATGAAATGTTTGTTTCCTGTTTTTGAGTAGGTTCAAGTGGTGTTTTTTTTTGTTTGTTTTTTCTGTACGACTGAAGCCAAAATGCCAACCGCAAATGAGACTGATGACCGGATGAAGAAGTTTAAGAACAAAGGCAAAAATGCAGACGTAAGTGTTCTGGGCTAAATTGACACTAAGTTGTAGTAGTTTTGTGTAGACTTTAAACTCACTCACACTTTACTGTTGTGTTTTTGGTTTTAACATCTTGGTTACTCCCAAAACTATTTCTCTTCCATATCAATCTGCTAAGACTGACTAAATCTAAACGTCCTATTAATACACTTTTCTCCTAGCATTTAAGATTTTCTTGGACAGGTATTGGCTTAAAACTGAAACTCCTCCTTGGAGAGATATTATGGCCCAGATTATCAGTTTGACATGGGAAAAATATTTATGTAATTAACTCAATGGCAGATATATCTGGCGGTCCTGGAGTAAATATGGTAAACAGCTGGGGATGCCCGATCAAGGAACTCAATGACATTACTTGTGGAGTGTCAGAATTGTAGCGGAGTCATAGTCCTAGCAGGGACTCTCCTCCGCTGGTTACTCCAAAATATACTCGAACAGCCAAACACAGTAAAATAATCTAGGAATCTCCCACCTCATCCCCAGCAGCTGGATGACACTGAGCTTTGGGGGTATAACTGGTTTTAATGGAGCCACACACTGCCTTTTAGGTGAATCTCTCCATGCAAGAGGTTTCTTTTTTTTTTTTTTTTGTTAATCAAGTTTTATTGAATAGCAGTGAAAACAGTACTGTTGGGCACGCAGGCCTGCAATAATAGGATTTGAGTACAGTGTGAAAACCGTAGAGATTCGTACAGGTATAACATTCAATAAGGAAAACAGTGTTATGTTCAATAACAATTTACAGTAACAATTTGCCACTTATAACCACTCGTAAATTTCAGGTGCGTTTTCGTTCTCTAGATGGAGTGACGGTGCTACGGCACGTGAGAGTTGTGTGATGGCAGTGCCTTGGTGTCTAAGGCTAGGGTTGTGTGAATAGTGTGTTGTATGTGGTGTTCATAGGTTCGTGTACCCGCCTGTGAGTAGGGTCTGCCATTTTGTTGTTTACTGCAAAAGCGTGTCAGGGTGCGTGATGTCACAGTAGTACCCAGTGTAAGAGAGGTACATATGGTAGTGATGTGTATATGTAGTACAAAGCGCCAAAGTATGAGGAGAACATGCCTTGGGTTCTCGGGCTCGTGATGGCACCCGGGTGTATGGTCACAGCGTGTGATTAGTATACATCTCTATATAGATCGTAAGCAGGAATAATTAATTACTTTGTCAAAGTCAGTTTACGGTCAGTGTTATGTTACAGTAGGGACCGTGGTCTTCAGGAGGGATGCGGTGATGCCACGCCCTGTTAGATATCCGCATGTAGCCTATCCAGGCCTTCTACAGCGAGGTCCTCATGGGAAACTCTATATGTATGGTTCCCCTGAATTTGCTTTTCTTCAGGTTTCCAGTGTGAGAGGGTGTCATGGTGTGTTGTGTCACGGCTCGGCCCCAAGAGTCAGAGCTTGTATGCTAATGGTATGCAGGCCTGGTTCGGGTCCCGAAATCAAGGACAGGGAGAGCATGGCGTGGGCCAGTGCAGGCCCGAGCAGGCCCTGTTATATTAGGGGTCATGTCACTCGTCTGTGTGATTGTGTAGCATCTACCTCCATCACTGAGGCCAACTGGGTGTAGCGCCCTTAAGTCGGAAGGGGTCAGCGTGTCTTGGGGACAGTGGTTGAGCTCCCCTTGAGTAGTGTTGTATCCGCATGCCGTCTCTAAGCGTCTTGGGATGTGATTCCCTTCCTGATCAGGGCTATGTGAACGGTGCGGGGGCGTAATGACTATGCCTGTCAGTGCCTTAGAGGGGTCCGAAATCCCAGTATGTAGTGTGGGTATATCGCAGGGGCCGCACCGGCGCCCAGACCCCGAACCGGCACCCCTCCCACTACCCCGCGCGGAAGGCAAACCACGGCGCCACGGTACCTCTGTCTTCTTCCAATACAATGGTATGAGTGATTTGGCTGCGTTCAACAGATGTCGCATAATAGACTTTTTGTAGGCGGGCAGTGGTTGCGAGGAGACATGTAGTAAGGCTAGTTCAACCGACCACTCAGTGTCATTGCCGAGGATCAGTCGGACGTCAGATTCGATCTGGTCCCAATATGGAGTGATGAGTCTGCATTCCCACCAGATGTGCAAAAGCGTGCCCCTATCGTCCATGCATCTCCAGCATGTTGGTGGGGTAGTGGGGAAAATTCTATGAAGTAGTACCGGGGTCCTATACCACATAGAGAGCAGTTTATAGTTCACCTCCTGGTAGCGTGAACTAGAGGAGCTTTTGTGCTGCCATATCAAGGCTTTGTCCCATTGTGTTGGTGAGAATGTTTTGGTCATTGCCTCCTCCCAGCGTTGCTGAAACATATATTATTCTCCGAGGTGGAATCAGTCAGCAGGTATTGGTATAGGTTCGAGATAGCCTTTCCAAGTGGTCTGCCCTGAGTACAGAGGCCCTCGAACCATGTGAGATCTCTCTGTAACCTCTCCTTGTGGGGCAGCGAGTCGTGGAAGTGTTTTAGTTGCATATAGCGAAGAACTGTCATCGGGGACCGCGGTCGATTTCCCAGCAGCATGTCCAGGGTGTCTAGAATGCCATCTCAGGTGACCTTGTGAATCGGGGTGTATTCCGCATCCCCTAGGAATGACCAGGCTTCCGCCGGCAGGCCGCCCCCTATATCGGGGTTGTGTGTGATCGGTAGTAGGGGGCAGAGGTTTCTTGACACATACTCCAGGGGCATTCCCCACTGGACCTGAGAGTAGACTGAAACAAAATACACAACATAATTATATTAAATGTCAGGTCCAGGACATATACAGTAATAACACCCTCAAAACATACAGTTAACAATAACATTCCCCCTAAAGTCCTATATCCCTGAATAGCCTGGATCTGAGCGCCCAAAATATCCAAAAAGCGCTCAAATCCCACGAACACAGCTGAAATGCCACTGGGGTATAGTTTAGACAATCTTTCAGCAGTACAAAACCTACTAAAACTAACGAATGAACTGTTCGTGCGTACGCTCGTCTCATGTATATTGTACGAGGGTGCTCCCAACGCCACTCTGTTCGTATGGATTCCACCAAACATAACCGGAGGTGAAAGTCCCAGTGGTGTTAAAGCCACAGAGTGTCGGATTTTTAGTTCCATACACTTGACGACCAAACACAGGTGTCTGTTCATGGTTAAAGAGGGCCGTGGCCACCCAGCCGTTGCTTAGAATGTTAGTTTTATTGCGGTTTATGGAGGTGTTAACCGAGGTTACTGGGGTCATCAAGCAGATAGATAGATAGATAGATAGATAGATTAATTTTTTTTATATATAAACATAGCAGTTTCAGAGAAACTGCTATGTTTATACTGAGGGTTAATCCAGCCTCTAGTGGCTGTCTCATTGACAGGCGCTTGCGTGCTTCTCACTGTGAAAATCAGTGAGAGCACACAAGCGTCCATAGGAAAGCATTGTAAATGCTTTCCTATGCGACCGGCTGAATGCGCGCGGCTCCTGCTGCGCATTCAGCCGATAACGTCGCGAGCAAGGAGGAGGAGTACAGCTCCCCGCCCAGCGCTGGAGAAAGGTAAGTGTTTAACCCCTTCCTCTCTCCAGAGCCCGGCGGGAGGGGATCCCTGAGGGTGGGGGCACCCTCAGGGCACTATAGTGCCAGGAAAGAGTATGTTTTCCTGGCACTATAGTGGTCCTTTAACTCAATTATCTCCCAAGCAGAGGGGAGGATTCCTATTGTAATAAGTGGGTGTGATTATCAATGTGCCTTTATCGGATTGGTTGCCAAATGTACAGTTTCAGTGCCCCACAAGGTCCACGTGGGTGGAAACCTTGCTGGGAAACTTGCATATAAACTGGAATAAACGCTCATTGGAGTCAGTTCTTCTTCACCCTCATTCTAGAGTCCTGTCTCTTATAGGGAGTAACCAGCTATATCACTACAAGGGATTGCTATGCTCTGCATGCTTCCTTGGATAATCCCTTCTAAGAGCTTGTTCCTGTTTTCCCTCTCTTGGAGAGGTTCACCCAATGGAGCCTTGTTGTAGGTCCAGGGTGGGTAGGAGACGGCGAGACCCCAACCAAGCTACGGTGGTTGTGGTGTCTGGCGGAGCACTTGGAGCCCTCTGGAAGAGATAGGAGCATCCAGTAATGGAGGTACCCAGTCGGGTTGCCAGGCGGTCCGTTACAGAGACACATTACACATGCACACTAACCACTTTAATAATACATTTTTAAAGGAATACTCCAAACAGAACTGTGGTGAAGATGCCTCCTCCACATGTTCCTGGAGGGGCCTGCTGGCTAGCCTCCTGCCCAAGACTATGGGACATAATAAAGTTGACTTCCATGGAAAATCTGAACCAATCTGCGTGATTTGTTTTTGGATATAATGGTTACTCAGATCAGAGCCATCGGGGATGTGACTCCACGGGAGTGGTTTCCACGGATTTTGGTGTTTTGTGAAATTGGTTTTTCTGTACCTGGAGATAATTGAGTTTGCACAGTTCCTGACTAGTGATGTCGCGAACTCGCCACGAACCGTTCGTGGCGAACTCCAGTCAGCTGACACATCTCTGGCAGACCCTCCCTCCCAGACCCTCCTACTTCCTGGACAGCATCCATGTTGAAGGCAGCTTTAACATGGATGCTGTCCAGGAGGTGGGAGGGTCTGGTAGGGAGGGTCTGCCGGCGATTGGCAGGGATGTGTCAGCTGACCGGAGTTCGTGGCGAAACGCTCGCGGCAAGTTCGCGAACGGTTCGCGACATCACTATTCCTGACTCCATTATCTCTCAGGCACAGAGGAGTATGTTGAATGTATTGCTTGTATGGGCCTCTCCCCCTTTTTATTTTATTTATTTATTTTTTTCCTATCCTATTTCCCCAGTAGGGCATTGTCCCAGGGACACTGCCAGACCAGTTTAAACTAGCTGCTTTGTCCCTCCTTAATCTCTCATCAGCCCTTGCTATTGTCTGTCCCCACCCTTCCTTGAACTATAGTGCTCTATGTACCCAATTGTATGTAAATTAGGCTGTTGGTGGTAAATCGTGTATAAATTGTTAGTGCTTGCCTGCATTAAACAAAACTACTACCAGCATTAAGTCTCGGCTAATGTGTGAGACTCGCTATAATTATTAGCTATACTCTGGAGGAGAGGTCTACCCATTGGGAGATGGATCCAGGACTTGGATCCAGGGTGGGAGGAGACGGCAAGATCCCAGCCAAGCTGCGTCTGCCTAAGGCCTCACGCTACATGGGCCTCGTGGCTGCCTAAATTGCCTCAGGGCAGGCTACCATGTCGGGTCTTCAGTCAGAGACCGAGGACCCGACACAGGAAGGGGCCTGGCAGCTTTCTCATAATGCCGTCGTGTGTGTGAGGCCTCTCCAGTCAAAGGAGAGAGCCAGCCTCCTGTCCGCAGCTCCGCCGGGAGTGAGCTGTAGACTGAAGTGTCTCGCGATCTCCCGCCGGTCAGAGCGTTGTCGCGGGTTACCACGGCAATGCTCTGACTGGAGATCACGTGGTCTGCCGCTCGCTCCTGGCGGAGCTGCAGACCAGAGAGCCAGACCACTGGGGAGGGAGGTCACCCCAGGACCTATTTATGAACTCCCAGTCACTGCTCCTCCAACTCCCCACCCCTTGTTACTGCCCCTCCATCCTGCCTGCCCCCTATCACAGGCCCTCCTACCCACTGTCTCAGCCCCTCCATTTACAGCCGCCCCTCCTGCCCCCTTACCCTCTCACAATCTCCACACCTGTCCTGTCACAGCCACCTGTCACAGTCCTGTCACAACCCACCTTTCTGGCTGTGGGATCACAGCCTCCCTCCACACAGTGTCATCGCATGCACACATTGTCACCATTTCCAAAAACTTTCAGCCCCCACACACTGTCTCTCTTTACCCAGCCACACTCACATCCTGTCACTCACCCCCTCCAACCATACCAAAGTCACCTGCCCTTGCTTTACCACAATTACCCTATCACATTAACCCCCATTAATCCTGTCACTCACCTTCTCTTGCACTCACACACAGTCCCCAACCCTGTCACTCATCCTCTCAGTCTGTTTCACTCACCCTCTTCACCCTACCACATAAGCCCCTTCCAACTGTGCCACACTCTCCCCACAACCCTGCCACATTAACCCCCTTAATCTTGTCACTCACCTTCCCTCCTCCAAACATGGCCCATTCACCCCAACCCTGTGATACACACCCAACTATGCCACACGCAGCCTTTCACATTAACTTCCTCCAATCCTGTTACACTTACTTCAACATGCCCTGTCACACTCCCTCCTCCAACCATGTCCCAACCGTCCCCCTAATATTCTCACCATTCCTCATTCTGTTACACCCACCCCCCATTGTCTCATTTACCCCCTCACCCTGCCACAGTTACCCCTTTACTTCCCTTGTCGGTTACAAACTGAAGACCTTAATCCTACACACATGCAGCCCCCATAAACACTTCACACCGCAAGCAGCTACCCCAGACACATACTCCATAAAGACTTACATTCACACACAAGGATACACTCGGTCAGACACACACTTTCATGCACATACACAGGTAGACAATGCCACACACTCAAATACACACACTGGCAGTAATCATACCCCGCAGTAGTGTATAAATAATTAGCATAATTGCTAATTACATCTGTTGCAAATTCATTGTTTGTAAATTATGCCATAACTTTTTTTTTGTTTATTTTTTTTTTTCACTTTGGGTGTTAGTGGGGGGGGCCTCATATCTGAATTTTTGCCTAAGGCCTCACAAAGTGTAGACCTGCCACTGGTCCTGGACGTGCTTATAGTGTCCTGGTGAAGTGCTTATGGTAGCTTGGTGATAACTCAGAAGTGTTTGGAGGAGGTACCCAGTCGGGGTATCAGGCGGTCTGCCACAATAACTACTAGAGCTTGTTGTAGTGTTTATGGTATCTGGATTACCCTGTTACCCTCGGACAGTAATAAATAAAATGTTGTTTTAACTTTTTACTTGGACACCAACCCCACCAATTATGCCAGAGAGATGTACATTCCTATGCAGACTGTTGGCTCTCCTCCACTAAGCCCTGCATTGCATTGTTCCTTTAAACTACCACTGGCTTATGTATGGTATTTTAACTGAAAACTTTGGGTATCAGAATTAACTACATTGGTTCTTTTAGTGTAACTGTCTGTGGTAAAACAAAGCTGATCATGCAAGATTGAACAAATATAACTATTGCCTAATGATCACAGCCTCAGTGGGCAATATTAGAGCAGGTGTCACTTTCCAGGGTCTCTGCCTATTTTGCAAAGACCCATAATGGTGACATTGCTTTTTGGGGTGTGGCCCAGGAGTCCAGCGGAGTTGTACTTGCTTAATAATAGCTGCCTTTTGGGTGTCACACTCCTAGGGCATTAGAAGCACTCGGGAGAAGACCGATGACCACATCAGTACTGTACTCTCGCACATGTGCAAGAGTAAAACACTATGGTAGCCCCCATACATTTCACATCAGAGCAATGGCTGTGGGAAGTGGTGCAATAATGTCTATTGTGAAGTTTTTTTGTTAAAGTAAGATTAGAACCTATAAACTAGTCCCTAAGGCATGAATGTATGATTTCTGTTTTGGGTTACGTCAAACAAATTTTAAACCGACTAATCACAGGGATATCATCCATAACATCTGCGTCAGAACTGTTGCAGTCAAATGTAGTTATGGTGGTTGTATGCATTATCTAACAAAAATATCACTTTTGCAAGCTTAAATTAATCTCTACATTGAAATGCTGAAACTTGTGTAAACATAATTTGGTCTATAAATATTGAAACTGTCATTATGATTGGACAGAATTGTACAGTGTATATAATCTCTTGTAGGAACTGAGACGTCGGAGGGTGGAAGTCAGTGTGGAGCTTAGGAAAGCAAAAAAAGATGAACAGATCTTGAAGAGAAGGAATGTCTCTAGTTTTCCAGAGGAACATCCTTTATCTCCAGAGCAGAAAACAAACTCTGTGGTGAGTCACACTGTTGATATTTTTGAGGTGGGAGGGTTTCAGAAAAACATTTTTCAATCAGCAGAAGGAGTGTTCTCCTGGCGGTTGGGTTGAAGGGTGACATATGCAGTAAAGGGGTACATGCTGCAACCAAAACTGCACAGGATTCACACAGGCCACCTGAACTCTGGTTCCATGCTGGGTAATAATACCTCAATGATTCCACCAGAGATGGAGTTACACCTCCCAGGCTCCCACAGCAGAGGAGTTAAACTGTGCTCTTTCATAGTGAAATGTGGTGCACAGACTGTGAGCACCAGGACCACTTGAAAGTAGTGATCTTTTAAATGTTATCTTGCTAAAGGGGAAAGCAGTCTTCTGTGCTTGGATAATATTTGTAGAATCGGAGTCTACCAGGGAAGGGGAAATCTTTATTTTTTTTTTTATTCTTTGTGGAATACAAACTTCTGATATTTTAATCTGTAAAAGTTTTGGAGGAGTATCAACCCTGGTTGTCTTGAGGTGAGTCAGCAGGAATGTTATTTCTCAATTTTTTATTTTTTTTTCCCTCAAATGGTGTGCACATTCAGTTCATGAAAATCTACCTGGTAATATATTATGGGACAGTCTCTTAACCACTACACAAAGCTGTAGTTTTTCCGGTGCTAAATGTCTCTTTAACTGATGCCTTGTAACCATATGTTGCAGTTAGACCATATGACCCAAGGACCTTATCAAAAAGCCTCCTTTGTGTTCTGTGTGTATAACATGCCTTAGATCTGCAGTGACTAAGGACATATCAGTCTCCTAGAACTCTTGAAACTATTTTAGATGCTTTTAAAGCAATTGTCATTGGCAACTGAAAATTCACCGCTGGGTGTGCTAGAGACCCAAAAGACGTGCAGTGGTGAGTAACTCTAAGGCCTGTCTTGTAGCATAGGACTTTCATATAGGATATTTGAGCCCAAATTTAAAAAAAAATAAATAACTTAAAATGTGGTGACAATAGAGGGGTCATGTACAGACTGCACAAGTAAACTAGCTTTTCATGTATCTTGCAATTTCATATCTTGCAGGCATTGCCACTATCTCTGGATGAAATAGTGCAAGGAATGAACTCTGGAAATGTTGACCTTGAACTGAAGAGTACACAGGCTGCAAGGTACCTCTCAGTTGCTAACTATGGGAACACTGGGTCTATGTAAAACTTAAAGGAGCAGACTAAGCACTATAACAGCCAGCAGGAATTATGGTGACTTTTTTTTTATTTATTTATTTATTTATTTATTTTTTTTTTTTTTAGTAAGCAGTCAAAATTTTGACCGGTCTGATACTTCACATTGTTTCCCTGGCTCTAGGAGTCTTGTCATCTATTCAGATATCCCTGCAGTGGAAGTATAGTGATATTTATTCAATCTCTCTTGATGAAATGCAGCTGATTCTATCAGCCAACTAATTCCATTCAAATAGGGTTGCCATCTTTTGTGTAACCTGTTTACTTGATTTTGTGTGTCTGTAGGTGTTTTTTGTTTTACAATTGTTTTTATTTATTTTTTTTTTATTTTTTTTCACCTAAGGAAAATTCTGTCTCGTGAGCGGAACCCTCCTCTCAATGAAATCATAGAGGCTGGGCTTATTCCAAAGCTTGTGGGGTTCTTGAGCCGCAATGATAATCCCACCCTACAATTTGAAGCAGCCTGGGCTCTAACAAATATAGCTTCTGGTACTTCTGATCAAACTAAATCGGTAGTGGATGGTGGTGCTATTCCTGCTTTCATATCTCTGGTATCGTCTCCATATCCCTATATCAGTGAACAGGCAGTCTGGGCATTGGGAAATATTGCTGGTAAGACTTGCAGAAATTCTTAAAAGTATTTTTTAAAGGAAATGTAGGTATCATGGGATTTAGTATTCTTACTCTAACACCCTCTTATAGGTAGCTTAGCACCATTTTTATCCTCTTGTAACTAAATGAAAAGGACCTCCTTCATGACCAAAAGGAACTATTGCCTGAAGTTGCCCCGCTATGTTTATTGCTCAATGTTTAAAGTGATTCTATAGTGTTAGGATTACAACAAGAAAATTGGGGTACATGAGGCCACAGAATATTGTTGATACAAGACATATTTGACAGTACAGACATGTGTAGTACATAATCCTACTTGGGGGAGTAAAGAACAAGCCAACTACAAAAGTATAAGTAACAATGACTAGCCAAAACAAGATACTGTAACATTGTATGTATGTCGTATGCTGGCGAACATAGATCTATTTTAATCTTTCATAGTGTGACTTTTATCGTCTTATCCTTGCACAGGTGATGGACCAATGTACAGAGATGCTCTGATTAACTGCAATGTAATTCCTCCACTGCTTGCCTTGATTACACCCAATACACCGGTATGCATTCTAGCTGACATTTGCTTTTATTTAGTCCTTGAACACGTTGTTTCTGATATTTTTATTGAGTGATGTCTCAGATATAATGTATTCAACTTCTGGTAGTTAAAGGTGTTGTTGCAACTGTTACACCATTCAAATAAAAAAATAATTAAAAAACCTGATGGTCAAAGAATGGTAACACATTATCCCATCATCATTTAGGTGGCTTGCCCCTTAACCCCTTAGGGTTCAAACTTGCCTTATTTCCAGCACAGTGCAGATCTGCTGGCCCTGCCCCAATCCTCATTCTTGGTGACCTCTTCAGAATTTACCATTTAATTTTATTTTTATTTTTTAAATGTATTTACTTTTCTGTCCAATGCTTTCCCATAGGGATTGGATTGGCTGAAATTGGCCCTGTCCCCATCCTGCCTCTTTGCCCATCACTGGCTTGGCCAATCAGCACCTCATCATAGAGATGCAGCAAATCAATGTATCTCTATGAGGAAAACTCAGCGTCTCCATGCAGAGACTGTGTAGCAGTGGCTAGTGGAGGTATCCTTATAGGGCAATGTAAACACTGCCCTTTTCTCTTAAAAGGTAGTGTTTGCATGAAAATGCCTGCAGGGAATGATTAGTCACCAGAACTACAGCTTAATGTAATTGTTCTGGTGAGTATATAGTGCCCCTTTCAGTTACTAGCCTGGCCTATATTCCCTTTACCACTTCAAAGTTTAACACCATTTTTGTTATACAATGTGTGCGTCGTATGTCCAAGTGGATGGATGCTGGTGAAGTGTGTGTGGGATTACATGCCAAAGCAATGTACACCTGGACTAATCCCCCTGTGGGTAATAACCCAATATTTTTGAGGTGATATTACACTCCACCTCCTGGTGAAATTCATTGGGTCAATTTAGGAAATACAGGATTGCCAAACCTGGCAGAATCAGATCAGGATAGGCCATCCATAATCGATCAGACCTTCCAAAGTCTGTAAGCATTAAGTGTGTAAATCGCTGTGCTAAGCAATAAAAATCATATGGCAAATTTATCATTGCAGATTGGCTATCTAAGGAACATTACCTGGACCCTTTCTAATCTTTGCCGCAATAAGAACCCATATCCACCTATGTCAGCTGTTCTTCAAATTCTACCAGTGTTAACACAGCTTCTGCACAGTGAAGATAAGGATATTCTGTCAGATTCATGCTGGGCCATATCCTACCTCACTGATGGCTCTAATGACCGAATTGATGTGGTGGTAAAAACTGGAGCTGTTGACAGACTTATTCATTTAATGCATAATATTGAGCTAAGCATTGTGGTGAGTTGGGTTTTTGTTTGGTGTAGGTGGTGGTTTTTTTTTTTTTTCCTCTCTTCATGCTCTTTGTGCTGTTTACAATCGGTCATGCAATCACGGCACAATGATGTATTGAAATGTATCTACATGACATCCAAAAGTCCTTAATCTGCAGTGCTGTTATATATGAAATGGTAAATAAGCTAAACACATTAAAGGACCACTATAGGCACCCAGACCACTTCAGCTTAATGAAGTGGTCTGGGTGCCAGGTCCAGATGGGTTTAATTTTTTTTTTTTTTTTTTTTTGTAAACCTAGCAGTTTCAGAGAAACTTATGTTAACCTATGGGTTAATCCAGCCTCTAGTGGCTCTCATAGACCGCCGCTAGAGGGCTTCTCACTGTGATTCTCACAGTGGGAAGATGCTTGCGTCCATAGGAAAGCATTGAGAATGCTTTCCTATGGACTGGCTGCGCGCGGCTCTTGCCGCGCATTCAGCTGAAGAGAGGAGAGCTCCCCGCCCGGTGCTGGAGAAAGAGGTAAGTGTAACCCCTTCCTCGCCAGCCCGGCGGGAAGGGGACCCTGAGGGTGTTGGCACCCTCAGGGCACTATAGTGGTCCTTTTTAAAGGTAGTTGCTAACTGGGAAGGTGGAGATGAAGGTAAATCACAGGTTTTATGTAATTCTTACAAAAAAGTATTGGTGCACCAATTGCCTGGCTCATAGTGTAAGATCATTGTGTATTCTGAAATGATCAGTTTGGTGCAACCTTTGAGCAAGGGATATTTGGCCAAAGTTTCTGGGCTAAAAGAGATGGCTATAATATAACATCTCTCTTCATGTGATCTGTGGTTGCGTATTTGCTTTAACAGATGTTTCAATAAACTCTGGATTCTCTAAAGTGTAGTCTCTAGTGCTGAGGTTAATTGCAGCTGGCAATAAATTGAGGTAAGGCAAATTGAAATCCATTTTCCAATTCAAAATTCATGTTTCTAGCATCAAAGTCCAGTTGACATGGTGAGGATGGAAACCTAAATTAATGGGACTCTGAGCACCAAAACTTAATTGTCTTTGGATGCAGACTCCCTCCCCTCACATGGTATAGAACACATACTTACTTTAACAAGATTTGTGACGTCACCTGCTGGCTTTATGTTGGTCCTTTAAATTGTGAAGACAATAAGCCTTATTTCAGGTTAATCTATGGTTCTGATACTCTTAACATCAGGCGTTGGGTTTTGACACTCTAAAACTTTCTCAAATATGTGAACCAATGGGTTTGTGGTATTGCACAAGGTTTGAGTATATAATGGGCATAGTTCGAGTAAAAGGCCCACTAATCTCTAAACTCAACCCGTTGCTACTGACTATATTACTCTGCCACCTATGTATGAAGCTTTACATAGTTACACTTTGCATCTACACATTTTCCCCAGACACCTGCGTTGCGTTCTATAGGAAACATAGTCACTGGGACAGACAAGCAGACACAGGTAGCAATTGATGCAGGGGTCCTCTCCGTCCTACCTCAGCTCCTTCGACACAATAAGCCAAGCATTCAGAAAGAGGCAGCCTGGGCACTCAGTAACATTGCTGCTGGATCATCCTCTCAGATACAACAGATCATTACATGTGGACTCCTTCCTCCACTTATAGATCTGCTAAAGAAGGTAAGCAGTTACTTTTCAATGGATTTGTCAAGATACAAGATGCTTATTTTTTTATTTTATTTTTTCTGTAGAGCAAATATAAAGCAGATAAAATGGGTTTCAGTTGATTTTGAAAATGTAACTTTGCATGTCACTTCTCTCAAAATCTAAAGAAAATTAGATGGGGTGTGGTTGAGGTGGCTAAGTAAGTTTGGCAGTCCATTCAGTGACAAAGGTCAGCTTTTAAAGACTTTGTTAAACCTCCTTACCAGCCTAGATTAACACCCACCCGTTTGAGCTTCATTATCAGTGATGCTTGGCCACCTATTGGGGGGGGAAACCCTGGAATCATGGGTGAAATATTTATCACTAATGTCTGGAGTGCTGTGACTGGCCGTCCATGTTCTAACAGTACTACACGTTTAATATTTTTTATTTTATTTTTTTGTTTCGCCCCTTCCCCTTCCCCTTCTCCTATCCTCTAATATTTAGGGAGACTTCAAGGCACAGAGGGAAGCTGTGTGGGCAGTCACAAACTTCACCAGTGGTGGTACTGTGGAACAAGTAGTTCAGTTAGTTCAGTGTGGCGTCTTGGAACCATTGCTCGATCTCCTCACGGTTAAGGACAGTAAAACTATTCTTGTAATCTTGGATGCCATTACCAACATATTCCTGGTGAGTTATGGATAACTAGAACATAATCCTCACTTATACGGCTTAATTTTTCTGTCTTGGTTCTGGAGTGCTCTTGTGATGGACTTTTTATGATATTCTGAACATATTTGTGTTTTTAACTTTAGAAGTGCACTGCATGTGACGATATTAAGTTTCTCTTCTATTGTTCCAGGCTGCAGAGAAGCTTGATGAGCTTGAAAAACTTTGTATGGTAGTGGAGGAACTAGGAGGATTAGAAAAGATTGAAGCTCTTCAAACACATGACAACCATATGGTTTATCATGCTGCTCTGGCTCTCATAGAAAAATACTTCTCAGAGGTATCTACAAGTGTGTGTGTGTGTGTGTGTGTGTGTTTGTGTGTGTGTGTGTGTCCTCATAGAGACCTGTTAAAGCAAAATCAAGTAATTGCTACTTGTAAGCAATCGACATGGAAACCAGTAAAATGTCTGAACATTAACACTAGGCGCATTAAATAGCACCTGTATATTCCCTTGATAAATCTCCCTTAATATTTTGTTAAAATACATTTTTAGACTTGAGTGGATAAGTATGATACAACTTGTGAAATGGCTTTGTATATAACTCTAGATGTTTCTTAAAAATTGTAAAATAACTAAAGACTACTTGAAATTGAGGGTTAATAAGATTACTGGAAATGTGCTGCCCCACACACCTGTCTTAAGTAGCTTCAGCAGATTCCAGATGGGACATCTGAGATCTCTGTTCAAAAGAGTGCGGTTCTAGGAACAGCTAAGATGCTGTGGCAAAGCCTATGGTAGAGCACTATAATGAAAAACAATCTTGTGCTTGTATTCCACTAGAGGTGCAACTTGCCCCTAGCACACAATAAATAAGTATCTGGGTGTGCAGCGATTCATGTTTAAATGCTGCACATCCAGAAGCCTACCACCATGACCACTTAACCCCTTAAGGACCAAACTTCTGAAATAAAAGGGAATCATGACATGTCATGTGTCCTTAAGGGGTTAAAAAAAAAAAAAGCAGAATTGATCATGATGGTTGGAATAATGATTTTCAGCTGGAATGAACAAATCTAATATTGCCTGTGCTTCCTGCTAGTTGGGTATATTCCATGGACCTACTTCACACAGTAGTGGTGCTCCTGAACCCTCCCAGGCGAGGTTAAAGGGACTCTCCAGGCAAACAATTTTACTCGAAGAGACAAAAGTGGTAAACCGCGCCCAAACAGTGCAAATAATTAAAATATATACATACAGAGAGTCCTCTAATTAGGAATGTATAAAACCTTCAAGGCAAAAAAGTACAGAACAATAATAGTGCAATAGGTCAAGTGAAATAAGAGTATATAAAAGCTTATAAAAGACTCACTCACACTTTGCAGAGCTACTCAGAGCTCTGCCGTATAGCGCCTAGACGGTATAATCCCGGTCTCAGGATATCAAGTGATGGTATAATGCGGTATCCAATCCTCCACAGTGGTGTATGGAAAGATAAAAATAGAAATAAAATCCAATAGTGTAGTATATCTATTAAAAAGTGTGCAAATGTATCAGGAACAAATAAAGTAGTAAAAACTATAACTTTATTCTTTTTATTACATATTTTTTATTTTGTAACAATAAAGTTATAGTTTTTACTACTTTATTTGTTCCTGATACATCTTGAATCCTGACTTATATCCTTTGGTGGGGATCATACCAACACATGCTGTCTATACCAGAGCAAGATATTTGCTCTGAAATTTGTAAGTAGGATACTTTTCCTTTATTTGCACACTTTTTAATAGATATACTACACTATTGGATTTTATTTCTATTTTTATCTTTCCATATACCACTGTGGAGGATTGGATACCGCATTATACCATCACTTGATATCCTGAGACGGGGATTATACCGTCTAGGCGCTATACGGCAGAGCTCTGAGTAGCTCTGCAAAGTGTGAGTGAGTCTTTTATAAGCTTTTATATACTCTTATTTCACTTGACCTATTGCACTATTCTTGTTCTGTACTTTTTTGCCTTGAAGGTTTTATACATTCCTAATTAGAGGACTCTCTGTATGTATATAGTTTAATTATTATTTGCACTGTTTGGGCGCGGTTTACCACTTTTGTCTCTTCTGTTTTACTACTGTGAGCAGGTATTGGGAATTCCTGCTTGGTTCACTGCTGCCCACCTTTAGTTTATTTAGTGAGCGCCTAACTCCTCTTTGTTGTAAACAATTTTACTCACCCGGTTCCAGCGCCGGGAGCCTCATGAAGCCGTGCCCCCTATTTCGTCAAAATGACGAAATAGGCGGGCGTGAGCAGGGAGCAATCAGACGCTTCCATTTGGAAGCGTCATTGCTCCTTGTGCGCATGCACGGCTTCGCCGCACATGCTTAATGCCGCCCTCTGAAGTCCTGAGCGCACTACCGCGTGTGCGCGGCTGCGAGCTGAGCTGACAGCTCAGCTCGCGGTCTTTGCCCGCTCCCTCTCCTCTGCTGACAAGCAGAGAGAAGGCGCGCACACAGTGCCTTCTCTCTCTCCTGCACACGTCAGACGTATTTTAATATGTCTGATGTGTACAAGGCCTTTTTAGGGCCCTGCATGATAGGAAGTCCCTCTGGTGGCTGTCTGAGTGACGGCCACTGGAGGTATTCCTATCAATGTAAACACTGTATTTTCTCTGAAAATACAGTGTTTACATTAGATTGCCCGCAGGGAGCTATAGATCATACCTGAACTAAATTAAGCTCTAGTTGTTCAGGTAACTATAGTGTCACTTTAAGTAGTCAAATTAAACTGTACAGGAAGAATGACTGACTGTCTCTTAGACCATCTGGTAAACTGAAACAGATGGCAAACTGGCTACTTAACCTAGAAGGTTACCGAGGCACTTCTGTCACATCACCAATACAGCTGTCAATATGGTGCTTCCTATTTTTTTTTTATTATTTATTTATTTATTTTTAATGAAAGCTGGTTTAGTGTATTGTGAAACTCATGACTGTTTTATAGTGACCAGCATTGTATATTTTCTCATTACAGGATACGGATGATGCACTTGTCATGCAGCCGGAAGCTTCCAATGAAGCCTTTACATTTGATGTGCCAAATTTGCACAAAGATGGCTTCAGCTTCTAAATGTATGCACTATATTTTCCTCTCTAAATTCTTGTAGTTTAAATAAATTAAATGGACTAAAACTAATAAACTCTAATTTGCAGTATGCTGCCAGTCTACTGTAAACTTTTATTTTCCTATTGAATTTTCAATTTTTTTTTTTTTTTTTTTTTCTTGTTGCCACCTTAATATTACTGCAGCCACAACTAAGTTACTAGCAATCTGAGCCACTAATTCTGGCCAATAAATTTAACTGTTGGGTTGTTGTGGACACTCCTTATTTTGGAAACTACACTAGCCTGCAATATTGCAAACAATACTCCCATATTTCTGTATGAAATTTTATGAGAAGGCATCTGGAATTGTTAAAATAAATTTATATTTAGCAGTCACCTATTGTGTACCTGAACGAGCCCTATTTTGTCTTGTTTACATCATGTAACTGTCTTAAACCCTGTAATGTTGTCTACATGGTGCAAATGTGTGCATATAAGTAATGCTGAATGTACAATGTGTGTACTGCATTTCTGTGTAGATGCCAAAGTGCATGACTATGCAAACAATGAGGAAGTACATTCTAGGGAAGTGTGCTTGGACATCTAGGGGTATTAAACCTAAATTAAGACACATAAATAGATTTGTATGAAGCTTACAGTAACTTATTGCAAAAGGGCTTAACGATTACTGCCTAATTGTAATCTGCCATTTTTTTATTGCCTCTGAGTGGAACTAGAAAGAACTAGAACTATTTTTTTAATTTTATTTTTTTTTATTCACCCTGCAGAAAATTATCCGTAATTCATAAAACAAAACTAGAATACACCTTAAGTTGATCTAATATTTAAAAATAGTACTCTACAAGGGTCAATGAATAAAGTAAGAGTTATTTTGTGTATCAACGTCTCAATTTAGTAAATAACCCTTTATGTGTATTTTTATTTTAGGTCTGTAAATGGCTTTGTTTTTCATGTGTGATTATCTAACAATCTAGAGGGCTCTTATAGCTACAGGATGGTCAGTGGTGTATTTTGGAATTGTGCTGCCCTAGGCACGACTAAATTCGGGCACCCCTAATCTAAAAATCACCAATTTGTCAGTGCCATTTTTTTTGACTGACAGACACATGCCCTCATTGATACATGCACTGACCTACTCACTACAGATAGTCATTGGCACACACACTTTCACTTAAGGTAGCCAGTCAGCTCTTGGGCCTACCAGGACACAAGGCATTTGCTTGGTTTTTTTTTTTTTTTTTGTTTTTTTTTCACCCCGAAAGAGCTGCCCAAGGCAAATGCCTTGTTTACCTTGTGGTAAATACAGCTGAGGATGGTGTATATTTAAAAATAAAGTGTTTCCTACTTATCATTGCTGTTTTTGAAAAGGGACTTGTTAATAGAACTTTTTGACTTTTATGGTTTTTGAGTCTCACTTCAGAAACTACTCAATGTTTTAGGACACCACTGGTTTTTCAACGCTGACTACCTCTGCATAGACTTATTGAAATCTAGAAAGAATAACAACCTGTGGTAACTATTAAAAATAAGTGTGCATTTCAACAACACCCATGTGAAAATAACTCACAATGGTTGAATCATCATGCTGTACATAAGACTCCACAATTGTAATACGCCAATTAAAAATAAATAATACAAATTCCAATTCAAACACTATTAAATAAGTAAAGATGACTTGTGTATTATAATAAAGATCCCTTGCTGATCACTCTTTCTTCTGTAATCAGAATGCATATAGTATCATCCAACCCTGGTACCTTGTGCAAACACCAATTTATGTGGTCTGCAGACAGAGATGCCCACTGGACTAGAATAAACTAAAGTATTTCAATGTGGATAGGCTGGTTATTAAGCCTCCCTCCAAACATTGTCACCTTCCCATATAATGCCTCCCCCGCACTGCAATTAACACACGAGTGAGTTCAAAGAAGTTGAGTAGCTTTAGTAACATGCTGAAGTATGTCACCCGGGTGATCCCGCACCAAAGTGAGAGCTATGAAATACACACTTCTCAGGAGGCTAATGGGAATGCATAGTGAAAAATGTTAAATAACAAACAAGTTAAAGGACCACTATAGGCACCCAAACCACTTCAGCTCAAGGAAGTGGTCTGGGTGCCAGGTCCCTCTAGTTTTAACCCTCAAGCTGAAAACATAAGTTTCAGAGAAATTGCTCTGTTTCACTGAGCGTTAATTCAGGCTCTTGTCACTGTGAGAAGACGCTGGACGTCCATAGGAAAGCATTGAGAAATGCTTTCCTATGGACTGTTTGCGCGCATGCGGCGCTGACAGCAGTGGGAGGAGCGTTCCCGGCGCTGGAGAAAGGTGTTTAACCCCCTTCAGCCTGGCAAGAGTGGGACCTTGAGGGAGAAGAGGACCTAAAGACCCTATAGTGCCAGTAAACAGTTTGTTTTCCTGGCACTATAGTGGTCCTTTAATAATAAACATAGAATGCTAATTAAAGGATTTGGTAGTGAGTAACAAAGAGTCAGTGTAAGTCAGCCGATGACCTCCAGGGGTTCTGCATAGCTCCGCTGCGTTTCTGCTGCTGGTGAATAACACCACCCCAGTCATGTCCTGAGCAGCATCCAGATGCTGTGGAGGAAGAGGCTGGTTGAGGGCGGTGGTCCCATCCGCTCTTTATTGTTGGTCAGACATGCAGCATCTGCCATTTTAGGTGTGGCTCCTCTACCACTCGAGTTGATTTCAGCAGTTGTGGGTAGCGGTGGGGCACCTGAGGTGAGGACTGGGATCACCCACACCGGTGAAAAGAGGGGGAGGGAGGGAACAGGGTGAGCACCGTGTGGGATCGAGGATCCAATCTGCCGCAATTGGGCAGGATAGCAGGGTTGCAGCCGTCCACTCCACTCACTACCAGGGTAGGCCTCAGGTGCGTGGACCAAGGATCTCCCTCCCAGAGACAGAGGCAATTTTCAGGCTCCGCCTCAGAACCAACACTGCTCTGCATCTTGGTCTGCAGTTTCCAGGTGTTACAAAGGTAAGTTGTCTGCTGTGGTGAGCTTAAAAGTTGAAAGACTGCAGGAGCTGCTTGTCCTTGCATCCACACAGCATAGCGATCTGGCCCTGTCCCCCCAAATAATTTTGATTAAAACTGTAGAACACAGATAACCAGTCGTATAATATAAGTCCCAAGCAGGTAACCCATGTCCTTTTTCAAGCTGTGACAGCCGGAAATAAATAACTGTAGAAACTTGATAAGAAGAATAGATCACGGAAGAAAGTCCATTGAATATTATGCAGGTTAAGCTGTACAGAAGGATCAAAAGGAGACAAAGGGATGGGTTAATGTTGGGAGGGTTAATAAAATCCCTATTTTCTTACGCAATATGATAGGGAAAATCTTAAACATTTATTGCAGACAGGAGGCTCCTATTATACTAGTTAAAAGCTATAATAAACATTAAATTATAAAGAACACATAATGACATACCATAGATAATGACATCGGTACCATAGACACATTAGTAATAGAATGGAAATAAAAAGTTTAAGTAGAATCAGAACACCAACTGGCGGCTTTTAGAATATCAGAAAGTGAACCTCCAGCTTACCCCTAGTGGAATGAAGGTCAAATTTAGTAATGTCAATCTCTGCTAAAGACAGTGTTTCAATCCCATCTAGCCAGAGTAACTGAGGAAATAGGTAGATGTGGTGGTTTTCAATAAGAAATTAGCAATTGTGGTTTATCTGAATGCCTGAGCAAGGATGTTTTGGATTTGTAGCATTTGAGACATTGGACCACACACAGATGAGGGTGTTCCATAAAATAGGGATAAAAACTGATTTAATATTAGTTTTGGCATGTCTTGGAATGTCTGATTTTTAAACTGAACTACTTGAGGTGTAAAATAGCAGCGTGGGATGTTTAAGTCTCGTACGTCTGAAACCTTTTAATAGATATTAAACAAAATAGAATAGTCAGTTTAAAAGAAAGGGTGGCAATGATTTTATTAAAGACATGAAGGCTCCTATTATTCTCTCTTTCCTTTAACCCCTTCAGGACGGAGTCAATAGTACACGTTCTGATCAAAACAAAAACTTGAATTTGCGCTATATGTTTGTTCAACCGTGATTCACCTCTTTCATATTAAGTGCACCCACACTTATTATATATCATTTTGTTCAGGAGAAACAGGGCTTTAATTTCACATGAACCGTTCATATATGAAACATAATTTTTTTTATGAATAAAATAAAAAAACTGTGAGAAATTTAAATTTTGTAAAAAATTTTTTTAATTCCGCCTCACATTTTAGCTGTAAATGTCATGATACTGTTAGCTTTTACAGCAAAAAGAGCACATATTTGGATTCAGTAAAGTCTCACGAGTACAACAGTAGCCCCCATTAACCGTTTTTACGGTGTTTTGGAAAGTTAAAGGGTCAAATATAGCACATTCAATTTTCAGGTTTTTCACATTGAAATTTGCTGAATTAGTAATGTTATCTTTGAGACCGTGTGGTCAGGGCCGGATTAACATAGGGGCTGATGGAGATGCAGTTCCAGGCCCAGGCCCAGGCCCAGGCCCAGGCCCATGGAAAAGGCCCATTAAAAAAAAAAAATATATATATATATATATATATTTTTTTTTTTAACACACTACTCTTAGGTTTGCCACCTGACTGGTATTTTACTGGCACAGCCGGTATTTGTGGCTGCCTGGCCGTGCCAGTATTGCAGTAATACCGGCAATACAAATGCAGGTATTTTTCTCAGTATAAAAGGAGATTACTCTGCAATACCAGCACCAGTAGGTAGGGGTCACTGTGTGTGGAGAGAGGCAGGGATAGGAAGTTACAGCATATCCCTCCCTGCCTCTCTCTATTACTCACTGATCCGTGCGTACGGGAGCAGCTACACAGCACAGGTAAGTGAGGGATGGGGGGAAAGGCAGCAGGGACACATAGGGACACAGACACTAGGGGATACCACGAGACCTGGGGACACTGAGACATAGGGGACACTGTGAGACATAGGTACATTGGGAGACATTGAGACATTGGGACACAGAGATATTAGGGACACAGTGTCCCCATGTCTCCCAGTGTCCCCATTTCCCCCAGCCAGTGTCCCTAGTGTCTGTGTCCCCATGGCTCCCAGTTTCCCCTAGTCTCCCAGTGTCTGTGTCCCCATGTCTCAGTGTCCCTGTGTCTCCCAGTGTCCCCAAGTGTCTCAGTGATACCTGGGTCTCTCAGTGTACCCGTGCCTCACTGTGTCCCCTAGTATCCTAGTGACATGGAGACACTGAGAGAAATGGGAACACTGAGACACTGGGAGACTGGTCGACATGGGGACACTGACTCTGTGATACATAGGAACACTGAGAGACTGGGTGACTTGTGAGACAGGGAGACACTGGGAGCAATCCATCTATACAGCAGAATCAAACTGTAAGTAGTGATTTTACAGAATTTTTTAATTATGTCACTCCTTGTGATTTACATCATGTGATGTCACGCATAACTAATTAATTATACAAATGATTAAGGCTGGTATTTTTTTCCAAGAAAGGTGGCAACACTAACTACTTTTCACATACTTTTGCTTAAAGGAACACTATAGGATCAGGAACACAATCATATATTTCTGACCCTATTATGTTAAAACCACCATCTAGGCCCCCCTGATCCCCTCTTTCCTCACTAAATATAGTAAAATCTTACTTGTAATCAAGTCTGCAGCTGAAGGCTCTGCCTCTGAACTGACTGTCTGCTGACATCATCAGAAGTGGTGGTCTGAGCAAATGACAATGCTTCCCCATAGGATGTGCTGAGACTGTCAAATAGGCAGATGAGGGGCAGACCCAGCACAAGTCAAACACAGGCCAATCAGCATCTCCTCATAAAGATAAATTTATTCAATGCATCTCTATGAGGAAAGTTCAGTGTGGATGCACTGAATGGCAGTGCTGCACACTAGGCAGTACTGCCCCAGAAAGCACGTCTAGCAGCCATCTAAGGAGTGATCATCAGAGTTATGTTTTCTGAAAAGACAGTTTACTGCAAAAAGCCTGAAGTAAATGATTCTACTTACCAGAACAAATACAATAAGCTGTAGTTGTTCTGGTGACCATAGTGTCCCTTTAAGTTTGGAAGCTTAAGAGGGATGCATGGGAACAAAACGTGTGTGGACTGGCTGACAATAAAATTAGTTTAGATAATGCAGACTTTTGCCTCTCTAACACTGTGGCATGTTCCCTTTCTTCCACACTCACTACATAAAACCTTTTCTCTGTCCCAGACTATATACCAGGAACTTCTGCCTGCTATTAGGAAGGAAGATAAGGTGACAAGTGGACATGTGAGTGCTATGGGACAGTCCATAGAAAACGTGGAGTAGGCGCATCATTTGATGCATTTATGTCAAGCTCATTCATGCCAGACTGGCCTTCCAATTCTTTGGGCAGACATGCCCCCTTTTTGGGCATGTTCACCCCATTTGGCAGGTCTGGTCACGTGATTCACATGCCAGTGGCACACCCTTTTAAAATTTTTAATTCCGCCTCACATTTTAGCTGTAAATGTCATGATACTGTTAGCTTTTACAGCAAAAAGAGCACATATTTGGATTCAGTAAAGTCTCACGAGTACAACAGTAGCCCCCATTTACCGTTTTTACGGTGTTTTGGAAAGTTAAAGGGTCAAATATAGCACATTCAATTTTCAGGTTTTTCACATTGAAATTTGCTGAATTAGTAATGTTATCTTTGAGACCGTGTGGGGATATGGATATGGATATGGACTCTGCTGTTAGGGGATATGGATTTACTCTAAAGATGAAATCATAAATTTGAGCGAGATTAGCATAGAGTATGTGTTTTTGTATAGCTGCACCCTTTGAGTTTCCCTCCAACACCGTCTCCATCAGATACATGATGCTTGGGAGCTATGATTGTTTTAGTGTTTTTGGTCGATAGGATTCTGTAAATAGGCCCATCATAATTGTCAGTACCAGGCCCACTGGGCTTTTAATTTGGCCCTGCGTGTGGTAGCCCAGGAATGAGATTTCCCCCCATGATGGCATACCAATTTCAAAAGTAGACTAACCAAGGTATTGCAAGTGGGGTATGTCCAGTCTTTTGTAGAAGCCACTTAGTCACAAACACTGGCCAAAGTTGCATTCATATTTGTTTTTGTGTGAAAAACGCAAAAAACAAATATTTGGCCAGTGTTTGTGACTAAGTGGCTACTAAAAATGACTGGACATACCCCATTTGCAATACCTTGGGTTGTCTAGTTTTGCAAATGGTATGCCATCATGGGGGTAGTTCTTATTCCTGGGCTACCATACGGTCTCAGAAGGCAACATAACCAATCTGGCAAATTTCAATGTGAAAAAAAATTAAATGCAAACCTTATATTTGATTTTCTAACTTTCCAAAACACCATAAAAACTGTACATGGGGGGGTAATGTTATACTTGGGAGACTTCACTGAACACAAAAATAAGTGTTTAAAAAAACAGTAAAACATATTACAACAATAATATCGTCATTAAAAGTGCCTTTCGTGTGTGAAAAATGCAAAAAACTTAACTTTTACTAAAAATATCATTGTTGTGAAACACTGTTTGTGTTCAGCGAAGTCTCCCGAGTATGTACCATGTACAGGTTTTATGGTGCCTTGGAAAGTTACAGGGTTAAATAGAGTGCTTGCAATTCAAATTCTCTGCACTTTCTGCCTGGGTTGTCAGGCATGTCAATCAAATTTTAATTAATTAAATCACATAATTATGTTAAAAGATTACTTAAATATACACGTAGAATTTTAATATATATATGTATTTAAAGTCTACGTGTACACTTATGTAGTTATTTATGTAATTATATATATTTCTGTATATATATATATATATATATATATATTTGCTGTTATTTGTATTTTATATATAGATAGATATATATAAAATGTCATTCTAAGTGTATTTTGTTACCAATATATATATATATATATATAAACAAAATATAGTTAGAATGAAATTACATATGTATATATAATTTGTTTAAATTTTAAAAAAATATTTTATTTATTATTGTAATTATACGTGTATATATAAATATAAAATATATATAGATGGGGGGCGGAGCTAAGCAGCACACGGAGACAGACGCTACTCAGCACGGTTCCGACCAACTCATCGACAAAACCCTCAATTCTAACGAGAGAAACCCGCCACACACGCACAAAAACCCCGGATCTATACCCGGGAGGACTCACCGAACATGCAGATGCCCTTTTTGTTCCCCGCGACCTCCAATACCCGGCACCGAGGATCTCGGGCCTACCACGAGGGAGGCCGGCTGCTCACTCGAGATGGCCCCTTTGAGGCAACCCTCGACTTATTCGCCAAGCACATAATCGGTGCATCCCCCGACGATGCAATGGGTCGGAAAAACCCAAGGCTAAGCCAACAAAAAACACGGCGCCCCAGGGGGGCGTGGCCGACAACAGAGCTATATGGCAGCAGACTAGCTCAGCTCCTGAGCGGCAAGGACGGAACCGCCGAAAACGGAGGTAATAAACCCACAATGGGTAATCAAAAAAAGGCTCACCCTGCTTCCCAGCACTCCGGGAAGACTCCAGCCGGAAAATCGGGCACTGTGGCCCGTTTATTTAGAGATTATTCCGACCGCACGGCGGACCTCGGGGAATCCAATATGGCGCCGGCGGCAGTAACCGCCGACTCAGATCCTCCAAGCCCCACAGCGTCGGACACATCACAGGTATCGATGGAAGCAGATATTAAAGGCATACTACGAAATCTGCCCTCCAGAGCTGACCTAGCTCAGATGCTAGGAAAATTGGAAACTACCTTCCAAAAGAAGATGGAAAGCCTCAATTCAGAAATAACTCAGGTAGGCCGCAGAGTTCAGGACCTGGAGGATGAAAGGGGGTATCACCACACATTTATGTACTCCCTATCAGCTAAAGTCCAAGCCCAAGAAAGGCATTTATCTATGATGCAACGCTCCCTAGATGACATCGACAATAGGGGCAGGAGAAATAATTTACGCATAAAGGGAATGCCAGAAGCAGAAGGGGAAAACCTATATAACATCCTGGCCTCGCTTTTCAATCTTATACTAAAGCGTAAGCCAGACTCACCGGTTATCCTGGACAGAGCGCACCGTTCTCTTCGCCCCAAAGCAGCGGTCGGCGATGCCCCAAGAGATATTATCTGCCGCATCCACTACAACGCTCTTAAGGAAGATATTTTGAAACACCTCAGGGACACCTCAGGCCCCTTGTTATATCAGGGACACGAAATACAGATCTATCAAGATCTATCTTGGCACACGCTGCAAGCAAGACGAGCCCTACGGCCAATCACCGATCAACATACGATACAGATGGGGTTTCCCTTTTGCCCTCATCGTAAACATCCGCGGAACCACATATACGATCTCTACACACCAGGACATCGTGCCATTCACCGAAGCGTTAAACCTGGCAGAAACATCCATCCTGGATTGGTATGCTCCTGATCCGGCATTAACAGCACCATCTCAACAGAAGAGACCACGATGGAGATCCCCGGCTAAGAGGCAACGGCTGATCCAGGCTGGACTTTCCCAACAATTAGAAGAAGGAGGACAGACCACAGCTGCTGGACGCTAACTCGCCTCTACTGACACTTTCTAGTAACAACCCCACGATACCCTTCTCTGCACGTCCGATTTTCAATATAAAGACGCTGGCCTCTACTCCCAGATAGAGCCCACTCAAAAGACTTGGACATACCCCAACAACATGGTCCCGAAAGGGATAAACCACTAACGCCAAAAGAGAGGCCAATACGGCCGACGCTGAAACCTCAGGTCGTATACATGCCTATGTTTTGCCCTATGTTTGCCTTCTGTAATTGTGAAATTGACATATACTAATACTATAGGGGTGACTTGCTTAGATATGACTGAGAGGTTAACAAGTATTTCCCACTCAAGGGGTACACATATGCAACACGTTGCGTTGGGGAGACAAAGGTACCGACTGACTTGGATAAGACTGGCTAGAGAAAGCGGCACAGCCCAGACATACTAAGACTTGGTACACGTTACCGTTTAGAGCAGGGGATACTATACCGACACCTGACAAAAAGGGATACCCAGGGGAGGGAAAGGTAATAGGACTCACTTGGACGACCCTTGCCTCCTTCCCCCATAAAAAGTGTCAGCTGACCTCACCCCCGCGCTACCCTATTGCCTTAACGGATATTTACCTCCACGAAGCATTAATAAACCAAGATGCGGTTCAGCTCCGAGTGCCCCAGGAGTCCACTGTGTCATAGTTTAAAAAAAAAAAAAGTGTACATGCTCCTTCTCCCCCCCCCCTCCACCTCCACCTACATCAGGGTCATCCCAACCTTGCCTACTGTAGACTACGGGACTTCTCAGGGGCAGACCCTAGGTATTTATATTTCTATAGTTGCCAAAGAGCAACACCGGTAACCTTACGACATCATCTATTGTATATAGTTTTGTTTTGTTTTGTTAAAATTTGTATATCGCACTGACATTGTGTAGTATCGCAACACCTTTTGGTGTAAGAATTTATACGACGCCAGCCAACCGTCTGGCTTGTCGAATACACGCAGGGTACGCATCACGCAACATCCACAGATATAGGGTACAAACGCACACCCCACACGACCATAGTAACCCTTTTACACACTACCCTCCCCCAAATCTTCAGCCATGGCAACAATTTCCATACTCTCACACAATGCTAGGGGGCTGAATACCCCCGAAAAGCGCCACATGGCCCTCACGGACTACCATAAATCAAAAGCGGAAGTGGTGTTCATACAAGAGACACACTTTCGTAAAGACTCAGCACCATCACTAAAATCCAGACACTACACAAAGGGATACTTTAGCAATTATGTAGGCTCGAAGTCACGGGGAGTGGCGATTCTCCTTTCCCCGCATCTACCATTCACATACAAAGAACACACATCTGATGACAATGGGAGATATATCTTTCTGAAGGGCCTGATGGGCACAACCCCAATAACCCTAGCCAACATATACCTTCCTAATAGGAAACAATTCCAAACCTTACGTAAGATAATCAAGCAGCTGGTACAATTTACTGACGGCATGTTGATTTTAGGAGGCGACTTCAACATCTCCCTAGATGGAGCACTAGACACAACTTCACAAGCCTCCACATACCAGGTTCCAACACGGGTGCAAGTCCAGAAACTTCTGGACTCGCATCAGCTCTATGACTGTTGGCGCGTCTTACACCCCGCTGAGCGGGACTATTCCTATTACTCATTCTCCTCGTGCTCGTATTCAAGAATTGACTTATTTCTTCTCCCACACAGATTTTTGAACTTAGTCCACTCCTGCAAATACGATGCAATCACGTGGTCCGATCACGCACCAATTTCCCTCTCAATTCAGATTCCCTCCCTCCATCCCACTAGGACACAGTGGAAACTGAATGATACCCTACTTAACCATACCACTATCCGGAACCAAGCCGAATCCTCCTTGGGACAGTATTTTGAGCTCAACACACACCCAGTATCCACCTACCCCATCATTTGGGAAGCACATAAGAGCACAATAAGAGGTACGTTCATCCAGGCAGCCTCTAGACTCAAAAAATTGAGGGAATCCCGCACACTTAGTCTCACTAGAGAGATTAGGCACCTAGAGGGAATACATAAAAACGATCTCAATCTCACCACATTTACGACAGTGATCGAAAAAAGGACCGAGTTAAATACAATTCTCGACATCAATACCAAACGCTCCTTAGCCAAGACAAGATGCACATACTACACGCAAGGGGGTAAATGCGGGCGCTTGCTGGCCCATGCTCTAAAGAAACAACGGGAACATACATTCATAGCGGCCATACGCACGAAGGAAGGTAAACTCTCACACTCAATGACTGACATACTCGCAGAATTCAAAGATTTTTACTCCTCGCTATACAATTTAAGACAAAGCCCCCCAGCGACAGCAGACATCCGAGATTTCCTATCTCGTAGGATCCACAAAGCCTTACCACACAATCTTCGAGAATCCCTAGAAAAACCTATTTCCACAGACGAATGCCTCCAAGTAATCAAACAGCTTCCACTAGGGAAAAGTCCAGGCCATGATGGACTCACTGCCAAATACTACAAGACGTTTGCCCCTCTGCTCATACCCCACTTCCAAAACACATTCAATGCTCTACTCAAAACAGATACTCTCCCCCCACAGGCCTTGAACGCAACGATTACGCTACTTCCTAAACCAGGGAAAGATTTAACTCAATGCGGCAGTTACAGGCCGATCTCCTTGATAAATATTGACTTAAAATTATTCACAAAAATTCTGGCCAACAGACTCAGACCGCTGTTACCAGGACTGATACATGGAGACCAATCAGGCTTCATCCCTGGCAGGGAAGCCAAACACAATACCACAAAACTGCTAAACCTCATACACAAAGCAACGAGAGATGGATGCCCCAGTCTGCTTCTGTCAATTGATGCCGAAAAGGCGTTTGACAGGGTAGACTGGACTATGTTATCGCACACCTTACAATACATGGGGTTCGGTCCAAACTGGCTCAAATGGTTCAACGCAATATATTCACATCCCACGGCGCACATTAGGGTCAATGGCCAATTATCAGAGCCAGTGGCAATAAGGAACGGCACCAGACAAGGATGTCCCCTGTCGCCTCTCCTATTTGTCCTGGTACTGGAGCCCTTCCTTCAGGGGATTAGAGACAAGACCTCGATTAAAGGCATCACAACGGGCACAACGGAGTATAAGATAGCAGCGTTTGCAGACGACATGCTATTCACAATCTCAGATCCAGTGTCGTCGATACCTCACCTAATGGCAGAAATGGAATCATTTAGCAAGATTTCCAATTTCAAAGCTAACCTCAGCAAATGCGAGATACTGCCGCTAAACATTTCCCCTCTCGACGCAGACATTATACAACGAACACATCCATTTGTTTGGGCGACCCACACGATAAAATACCTAGGTATTCACTTAAAGGACCACTCTAGGCACCCAGACCACTTCAGCTTAATGAAGTGGTCTGGGTGCCTGGTCCCGCTAGGGTTAACCCATTTTTTCATAAACATAGCAGTTTCAGAGAAACTGCTATGTTTATGAATGGGTTAAGCCTTCCCCCAAAGCCTCTAGTGGCTGTCTCATTGACAGCCACTAGAGGCGCTTGCGTGATTCTCACTGTGATTTTCACAGTGAGAGCACGCCAGCGTCCATAGGAAAGCATTGTAACGTGCGCATTCAACCCAGGAGGAGGATCGGAGGAGGAGAGGAGGCAGAGAGCTCCCTGCCCAGCGCTGGAAAAAGGTAAGTTTAAACACCTTTCCCCCTTCCAGAGCCGGGCGGGAGGGGGACCCTGAGGGTGGGGGCACCCTCAGGGCACTATAGTGCCAGGAAAACGAGTATGTTTTCCTGGCACTATAGTGGTCCTTTAACCAAAGAGGCATCCCACCTATTTGAGAGTAATTTCTCTAGTTTGATGAAAAACATACAATCAGATCTCAACACCTGGAACAAACCTCAATTTGGATGGTTCTGCAGGCTGAACATTCTCAAAATGAATGTTCTGCCACGGCTCCTATATGTCATGCAGGTATTACCAATTACTCTACCTAAGTCATGGTTCACAATGGTCCGGAAAACCCTTACGATTTACATCTGGGCACACAAGAACTCAAGGCTTGCCTACTCACTCCTCACACGACCAAAGGATGAAGGGGGCCTAGGCCTCCCAGACCTAGAGAGATATCACCAAGCAGTCCTCTTGACCAGACTGTATGACTGGACACACCCACACCCTACCGCACAATGGATACACATAGAAAATACTTTCTTCAGGACGCCCATTTTCACAATACCATGGCACAAATCAGGACTGCCATTTTTATTGCACTCCCCACATCCCACAATCTCACCAACCCTACGTATGTGGGCCAAGATAAGGACTCACCAGACAATGTCACCTTACCCTTCCCCGTTATATCCAATAACACACAACCCTCTCTTTCAACCGGGAGAGGATGGGAGGGCATTCAAGCAATACCATGACTCACATTACCTGCGCCTCGCCGAGGTTGTAGACGACACGGGAACTCAGGTAAAACCATTGCAAACTACAACAGAGGGTCACACTGTACTGCAAACATTTCAGTATAAACAACTCTCTCACTTCCTACACACAGGGCCACTGGCACATAATCCTGTCTGTCCTTACACACAATTAGAAATACTTTGCAAAGAACATACCTTAAAGAAGAAAGTCATCTCAGAGATGTACACAAAGATCGCTAAAACAATGCCTCACCACCCACCGGCCTTTACCTCGTCCTGGGAAAAGGAACTAAATACCTCTTTCACACCAGAAACGTGGCGCGCCATATTCACACATATTCATAGATCCTCTAGAAACACCACAATCCAAGAGAGTAACTACAAAAGGGTAGTGAGATGGCACT